ACATCCACGGCCGATAAGCCCAGATCGCCAAACCGTGCCCGATGTTGTACCAGAGAACCCAACGTCAGCGCCACGACATAACTTTTTCTGGGCTGAGCTGTTCATAATCGTGCAATGTGCCATCTTTGGCACTTGGTTCATCTCTCTGCTTCAAGAGTCGCCCCCAAACAAGAAGAATCCGTTGGGCGACACGATATATACCGTCTTACATTCGTCTTTTCACCTCATCGGAGTATACTCGTTGGTTTCGGTCATAGTCGGAGTCCTATGGCTCTCGCTACTTCGGTCCTTCGCTCGGCCTCTGGTGCAACTGATGCTACTGGCAATACCCGTCGTATCGATTTCCTTCTTTTTCTACCCTTTTGTGTCAAGCTTTAAAGGGTCATGGCATGGTGATAGCGTGCAAGATCGGCTGATGCGTTGGCTCTCGTTTGGACCTCTATGCTTCGCGGGATTCTGGGTGTACACCGTCTTCAAGGCGCGACATTCCTTAGACAAAGCCACCGGCATGCTGGAATTCTCGAGTGAAATCTTGAGAGCGCAGTTTCCACTGTTGCTTGTGGGTATTGCGGCATTGGCTGCTGTGATCCTGTGGTCTTGGATCTGGATTCTCATGTTCACACGTCTTTTCCTGGGTGGCCACTTTGCTAGCAACAAATCCCGGTGGATCATCGACACCAGCACGTGGTGGCTGGGAATTGCGTTCTTCCTGGATTACTTCTGGACGTTGGCAGTCATTTCGGGTGTACAACGTGCTACAACAGCAGCTACAGTATCTCAGTGGTACTTCCATCGTAACAGCGTCCCCGCACCTGCTGCGAGAACGGTAGTCCAAGCATCTCTCAGCCATGCGACATACACCATGGCTGGGACGATCTGCATGTCCACGCTTATTTCACTCATGGTTCGCCTACCACTTATCGTTCTCCCCAGGCGACTCGCGGGGATGATCGGCATGTGCGCATATTCTATCGTACCAACACCCATCGCGGCGCTGACGAATCCACTCACCCTAACCTTCGCATCCATTCACGGTCTACCTCTCAATCAAGCCGCGCGTGGCTTATCCCAATTGAACTTCATTTCCGCCGCATCGCCAACTACGACCCTCGGCCCAAGCTCGTTCAAAGATCATGGGCGACCGTCTATACAGTCATACCGCCTTGCAAAACTCCTTCTGCACGCTATTCGCTGGGTGATAACATTGTCTCTCGGGTTTGGAGGCTGGGTTTCTACTGCACGCATGCTCCAGATCAGCAACGACACGGTACCGTACAAGGGCAGTCTATATGCATATGTCGTCGGCATCATCAGCGCAGCGATTGGTTGGGGCGCTCTAGGTGCCATGGAAGGAGTCCTTGGAAATATCCTAGACGCAGTACTTGTTTGCTGGGGAAGTGAAGTAGGAAGAGACGGACAAGGAGAGGCTCGGTATTGTGTTGACGCCGGTCGGCTATTCGGCAATGAAGTCACTGGGCAAGGGCGAGGAAGATATGAAGTTTAGATTCCGTGTTTTTTTTTTCTGCATTTTTGGCGTTCACCAGAGGGACCTGGGTACAGACGCGGAAATGGCGCTTGGGTATACCTATCATCTATCTATCTCAAATCGCTTCTGCTATCAGCAACAGCACGCATATAGCTTTATCCAATGGAGATCATCGTACAACTGAACTGAAAATGATTGAGTTAACAGCTGATAGGATGATTAGATAGTGAATTCCAATGTGAGCGAGAGGTCTGGCACATGTATCCAGGCAGAAGCTGCGTCATGGTCGTTTAGTGGCTAGCGCGAGTCGACGCGTAGTGGAGCGGGACCCGATCAACACGGCTACTGCAGCCCAAACATCGATTCGGCGCAGCGACAAGCAAGACAAAAGTGCCCCAGGCTCCATGGAGTGCCTTGCCCGCCAACATGTCCTCCCGCACCGTGCCGACTATGAAGTCCTTGTCCAACGCTGATCGCCGCTCTGTCAATGCCAATTACACGTCGAGTGCGCGACCCCGCGTCGCTTCTGGAGAGGATCTCGACCGACGCAGCTCTACCACAGCATCACATGCCAGGAAACAGTCGGCTCCCATGCGCCCCGCAGGCGCAACCTCAGGCGAGCGTCGCGTCGAGAAGAAGGAGGGGCGCGAGCGGGAGACGGAGGTTAGGCGGACCAAGAGCCCGTTGAAGCATGCCAGCGAGAGTCGAGTCCATGCTCGAAGCCGCTCGGAGAAACAAGCGCGAGATATCGAGAGACCGTCACGCAGCGCGGCCTCGCAAAAGTCGATACCAGAAGAGCCCCAGCCGCCATGGGAGCCCCAGGCTTCCTTGATACCACACACGACCGCCCCGCTGGCCACGCGCATCTCGATACCGCCGCTCGCATCCACCGCTCCCGTATCGCTGCAACCTACACCGCTCGCAAAACTGTCGCTCGAGGCACAAGAGAAGGCTATACTGGAAGACTTGCTGTTTGTTTTCATGGGCTTCGAAGGGCAGTACATTCGCTTCGGTGATGGCTACAACCCCCACGAAGAGAAGGAGCGTTTGGTTGGGCCACAGTTTCGCCTGATGCCTGGCTTGGATCCTAGCCTGAGGGACCTGACCAAGTCGATGCTGAAGACGGCCACACACTACATCGCTGTCGAGACTTGTGTAGAGGTATTGAGCCGGGAAGAGTACGGTGCAGTGAACCACGCCTTGTGCGCTGCCGTGCGGCGCTTGCTCAAGGACTATCTCATACTCATCGCCCAGCTTGAGAACCAGCTACTGACAAACGACTCTTTCACGCTCCATGTCTTGAGCTTGCATACCAAACAGACGAGCCACATGCTCTTCCAGCTCTACACCACCGGAATCGAACTGCTCAAAGCAAACGGCATTCTCGAGGACGAAAAGGACGAGGACTCAGCGGATGATGACAGCAATGACTTTGAAAACATCCTCGAGTCGTTGCGCGAGGGAGGCAACGCAACCAAGAAGCTTTGCAAAGGCGGGAGCGTCCTAGGCCTCATCACTAAGCGACTATCTTCAATGTCAGGAGATCCTGCAGCTCGGGCACTATTGACCACGTTGTTGCGAGAAGCCAGTAGACCGTACATGGCTATGCTGAACGAATGGCTGCACCATGGTGGCATCAAAGACCCTCATTCTGAGTTTTTGATCAAAGAGCAGAGAAGCATCAAGCGAGAAAGGCTGGATCAAGATTACACGGATGAATATTGGGAGAAGAGATACACGATACGCGACGCCCTAGTCCCTCCCCAGCTTGAAGCCGTCAAAGACAAGGTGCTCCTAGCAGGAAAGTACCTCAACGTGGTTCGAGAGTGTGGAGGCGTCGACGTTAGTAAAGTCGTGCAGGACGCGCCAACTAGCTTCGACGATCCACGCTTTCTAGACAACGTCAACTCCTCCTATGCCTACGCAAACTCCTCGCTCCTCAATTTGCTTCTCACTACACACCAACTGCCGGCACGATTACGTTCACTCAAGCACTACTTCTTCCTCGACCGCTCCGACTTCTTTACTTACTTCCTCGAAATGAGCGAGCTTGAGCTCAAGAAACCAGCAAAACATGTCAACGTTGGAAAGCTGCAGTCACTGCTTGATCTCGCAACTCGACATGCTGGATCAGTTGCTGTGGAGGACCCATACAAGGAGGACATCAAAGTTCAGATCAACGATACTGGCCTTACAAATTGGCTAATGAAGATTGTCAATGTCCAAGGTCTCGACCAGGATGCTGCTACCGCTACCCTGTCCAACTACACACCTGCAAACTCGGCGCCCATCACCGACGACTCCAACATTACCGGTTATCAAGCACTGGTATTTGACTACGCTATGCCATTCCCTCTATCACTCGTCGTTAGCCGGGTCACCCTCACTCGTTACCAACTGCTCTTCCGATATCTACTCAGCTTGAAGCATCTCGAGACTGATTTGGCCAAGTGCTGGGGTGAACAGGGCAAGAACGCAGCCTGGAAACATCGATCAAAGAACCCACGGATAGAACAGTGGAAACGCCGAGCTTGGACACTGCGTGCGCGCATGTTAGTCTTTGTCCAACAGCTTACCTACTACTGCACGTCAGAAGTTATTGAACCAAATTGGGCATCATTAATGTCGCGGATAAGTGAGGAGAAGAAACAGGATGCGCGTGGCAAGGGGAAGACAACAGAGGACGAGAGCGGTGGTCCGCAAGTCAAGCGAACTGTAGATGAGCTGATGCAGGACCATGTGGACTTCCTTGCGACTTGCTTAAAGGAATGCATGCTTACTAACAGTAAACTGCTTCGGGTGAGTGGAGAAGCACTTCTTTGTAGCGAATTCGGTTGCTGACAACCTTCAGATCAACAACAAGATCATGTCAACATGCAGCATGTTTGCATCCTTCACCTACTCCCTCTCCCGCTACCTCGTCACCGGCGACCCCGACCTTGTCGCTCAAGTAAATGCGTCCTTCGCTCCTCCCCCTTCCAAGAACTCTAAGCTGCCCGCCGCTACACTAGTCGCTTCAACACATCGGCCTTCGACTCAGTTTGTGTACGACCCTCAGCGCGTCGACAAGATGTTCGACATGCTTGCTAAATACGAGGAGAACTTCACCCGGCATCTTAAGATTTTGCTGGATACGCTGAACTACCTCGCTGCCACTGAGACAGTAGTTTTCTTGAGCCTTTGCGCTAGGTTGACAAGTGCTGGAGAGGGTCTTAGTGGATTCCAAGTGCCAATGGGTATGGAGGGGATTGCTTAATGAGCTTTGGTCTCATCAGGGTCAGGCGTTGTGAGTTCTACTGCATTGTTCCGGGGTATCGTCATGGGTTATGGATTTAGTCTGCAAGGCGCCAAGCGAGCGATACCATAGTTGTTTGAAATGAGACGCAACGAATTACGGCCGCGAGGTTCTCTACTATTGGGAGTGCGGCATCACATGTAATGGGTGTCGTACAAGTGCATTGATCGGTTAACATTGTTCGATTAGACGATCTATACGTATTATGCAACTGCACTTCTAATATAACTTGAATGGGCAACCTTTATCGGCGCTTGAACTTTTCGTCTTTTCCTTGACAACCTTCCATGTGAAATCCATTAGCTGCTCGCCCAATTTCTCATTATTCGCCAGGTCACTACCCGGCTCCCGTATCGCGGGCGGGCAAATGTACTCGCCTGTACCCTCAGTCTTGGTCGCCGCAAACATGGTGCTCACTGCGCCTTCAAACTGTGTCTTCTTGAATGGTGCGAGGCCGTAACTCATTGCATAGCCACCGAGCGGATAGGCTTCGTGGATGTGGTCAACTGACTGCCGTGTCTCGACGAAACCGGGGTGTGTGGCATTGGACAGGATGTTGGGGTGGGAAGATGATAGGTGACGGGCTAGATAGCGCGCGTACAGGATAGTAGCGAGCTTTGTGCGGCCGTATTGTGCCATTGGGCCAAGGTCTGTGTTGAGCTCATCGATGGACTCGAATTTGGTGTCTTTCGGTGCGTTCTCGTGTGCGTTAGACCCTAACTGTACTATCCGGACCTTGTCGCCCTTCTCGGCGGTGGATTTGAGCAAGGGTAGCAAGTGAGAAGTCAGGACGACGTGGCCGAAGTGGTTAGAAGCCATGTGTAAATCGACACCGTTCTTGGCCAGTTGGTATGTCATGATACCGCGAGCAGCGTTGTTGATCAAGATGTCGATCCTGTCTGTCTTCTGAGCAATCTCGAGCGCAGTTTTGCCCGTCTGTTCCCAGTCGGCGAGATCGCACTTTAGCCATTCGACTCTGCTGGCCTTGTCCTCTCCCATCTCTTCCTTGATCGCCTTTAGCGCATCCTCAATGATGTCTTCGCTCCACGATATGATGAATAGCTTCTTGATATTGTTCGACAGAAGCGTGTGCGTGCATCCATAGCCGATACCTTCAGAACCACCAGTTACAACGGCCACCTTTCCAGTGAGATCTGGCACTTCCTCAAGGGAGAACTGCTGGTCTGCGGGTGCGAGGCCATGGGCGCCTGAGACGACTTTACCGAAATTCTCGGCAATGGTGTTTTTTACTGCCTGCATAGTTGAGGAAGTTTCGACTGGGCCCTTCAAGCGGTCGTTATTGTTTTGCGGGGTCGACGAATAAGGTCGAGAGGTGGTAGGAATAATCCGAGTAATGAATGCACGTGGTAGGGTTGCTGTGATTATGGAAGATGATTTGCAGCAACGCAGGGAAACAGCATTCCTAAATAACTTTGTAGACTGCATGGTTACAACATAGGTCACAGGACAGCAGCAACGATCCCCTTAGGTTAAGAGATCTAAGACCATGGCATGCAGTGACGTGCCGCTTTCTGGGAGGCACGGTAACCAATACCATTTTATCCTGATGTCAGCACTTATTTGTTTTGGCGCGTTCCTGGACGTTGTGGAGTTCGGATCGGGAGCGGATCGATGATGATCTGGTAATGACGCATTGATGGAGTAAATAGAGCTGTGATGTATTGGGGCTAGTTGGACGGCCACTATCGATACAGTTCTCGGGACGCGACTTTAGCTCGACGCGATCCTGACATCTGAGCATAGTAGAGCGTTGTTGTCGCTCTCCACCACTAAATTATGGTAGGGTCATCGGTCGAGCACAGAGATAACAGGCAAGTGCATTTTCGTTTGTACGTAGTGAGTGCGTCTGTGTAAACATCACAGTTGCGCCTTCTCAACGAAGCCAGTCGCCCCGTGATTGGGAGCAATTCAAAAAGCTGAGGGGGTCGATATGTTACACCAGATTATCAGAGCCTCAACACAATTTCTCCATCGATTTTGATGACCCACATCTACCTGAATCACACACAGAGCGGGCCCGGCAAAGATAATAACATGCGACATATTGTCAATTCACCCCATATTCATTCCGATCGGGCTGCCATGATAGCATCCGAAAGCGATTCGCCAACAGCCTCGCACCAGCAAAGCGCCCCAGATGCCCCTACATCAGAAGAACCGTCAGCCAAATTCACGCCTCTCGCATCCGAAGAGGCAGCTGCTCGCAAAGCCCGTATGAATGCCGATCTCATCGACGCCTTCAAAACCCCTTGTCCGCCTGGTACAACTCCATACGTAACAGGCATCGGTCTATACACCCACGTCGAGGGTCCACACCAGGCTCCCCTATATCATGGCAAGAAGCCGCAACCGCAGCAAGAGTTCTTTCCTGTGCGGATACCAAAGCATAGCGGAAGCCGCATCTCACAGCTGGACGAACTAGTTGGAAAGCTATGGGAGCAACTTGAAAAGGCTGTTGAAGAAGAGGAAGACATTGTTGGCAAGACTGAGCTTGGGCTTAAGGAGCTCAAGAAACGATACGGAGGGCTCGATCCTCCAAAGGACTCTCGGCCACCAGTACAGTACATTCAGCAGCAGCATGATGGGTCACAGAAAGACACAGCGGCTCAAGGCAGTACAACGGCAGGTACGGGGAATATGAATCCACCGCCATATGGGCGTATCCAATCGCTAGCAGGAGGAGTGGCCAGCCTTGCGGTGAGAGATGAGGATGTGAGCATGGGAGGTGCTGAGGTAGAGCGAGGCAGGCCCCAGACTACCCGCTCCACTACGGTCTTTTACGGTCCAGATCCGCGCAGAAAAAATCGTTAGTGACGAAGAAGGACACAGACAGTTCCATGACAAAGTGCGACATACCAAGCTCGACACACCGCATCTCGATTTAACATCTCCCTTGTGCGTCTTCCGCATCTGGGGTGGGACTGAGCACATGACACACGTACTGGAGTTCCAGATTGCAAGTATGACCTACCATTGTAGTTGTTCATCTATACCTCGGACACGCGAGCTTTTCCACTCAGAACTACCAATAAAGATGAGCACAAGAGATGCTGATTCCGTACATACTCACTCGGATATATACGACGGACTGATACAATAAGATTCGTTACCGCAACTCTTTTCAACGCAATGCCAGCGTAGCATTCCGAGGAAGAAGGATAAAAGGAGTAGTTCGGCTGAGAGCATTCATAGAGGTGAGCACGTCATGATGTATGACTCAAACAGCCTGTCCAGCGATGGAAATCCCAGAATCTGCATGTGAAGTATGTGATAATGTTCCATAGCTTATAACAAGCCAAGACTGCTTCCCAGCTTGAAAACGGGATCGTAGAAATGAACGATTACACATTTCGTACTTCACGATAATAATGCAGAGCAGAATGAGTAACGTGACGGCTAGTGCTAACATAACAGCGAAGAAATGCTCAATGGATATTGGTTCCAGATCGCGAAGATGAGACTCCATGTAGTGCTTGCTTGTATAGGGATTCTGATGATAAATGGGTCAAAAGGGAAATGTGAAACGATCAACAGACTGAGTGGGATACTGATCTGTGCTTGCGACATTGTGGTGACGCTGTGTCAGCGAGCAATAATATAGATATGTGGACACAGTGTGTTTACTCGTTTCAGCGTCACATTGCCCATCTCTGCTTCTAGTTCTGATGCTATCACAGCCGCCATAACCCGATCTTCCAAGCTTGTCACCTTATTGGGTCGGTGCAGCAGCTGAGAAGATGCAGATTGTATTGCTATCTCAGATCGTCACTAATAAGAGCTGAAGTCATGTGAGATCACCGTCTCTACTAGAGTAACCTATGCTATCTGGTGAAAGCAAGCTCAAAGATAGTAGTGAAATGTTGGAAGCCTTATTGATTCCGCGAAATTACGTTATATCGGTGTGATATTACTCAAACTTGGAGTATATACTGTTCTCAACTCATTTTCACAATGCTGTTTCTTCGGAGCTGCGAGCAGCTTTATCGACTGATGATAGCAATGTTAGAAATGACAAGCTGGTTATTACAGAACATCGGTGCACTTATCCTCGCATCTCTAGTCTGGCTCGAGCTAAAAACCGGGCTTGTTCTTGGATCTTTCGGATTATTCGATAGACATCCGCATATTGTCTGCGCCAGTCTCTTCATTCTGGGCCTTCTTCTCTCATACTGGCTTGTACGCAGGTTCCAGCGGCGGCGACGCGTACCGCAGCACACCGACCTCTTCAGCTCGTCACCATACAAACATCGGCGCACACAAACTCCTGAGTTCCCACCAGGAATGCAGTTCAACCTAGTTCAGGAAAGATGGAGGAAAAGGGGAATGGAAGAGCCATTCCTAAAGCGCCGGGCATTTGAGGCAAGTAGATCGATGGAAGTACCACCAGTGCGGAGACCACTTCTGAGCATCCCGACAGTTGCTTCAAGGCTGCCGCAGTCAGATAGGAGTTCGATAAATACGTCATTTGGGAAGGTTGGATGGAGCTAGAATACTGGGTTTGGTTTGCCTCAAACAACATTTTCTCGAGGTATTTCAATGAGTTTTCATAGACACAGCTCGATAAGAGCGACCTCTTTCTTAGATAATTGGAAGAAACGGTCCCAAAATCAGGGAAGACAGCAGGCACTATTAGCGCTACCTCTTGCAACATCATCAACGTAGCGTTTTCTACCCCTGTGCACCTTCGCGACGAAGAACACGCAAGTGTCAAGTCCCGGAGAGTTCCTTATGTGTGCATGGTTGTCTACGACGACAATACGTTTTGCTTCGTTCAACACAAGAGAAGACGTCAGGACAGGTATTCGTACCTGCCTAAAACGGTTAAGTGCATGTAAACCCTAAGGGCGCATTTCCGATCCATACTTTACGCTTCTGATCATCTCGAAGGTTCTTTTCCTACTTCGACTTGGTCATTGCAAGTGACTCAGTCTCGTTTCATTTCTATTATATGAGCATATCATCCGCTGCATGTGCCGCAAAGTTTTGAGATATCCAGCGTTCGCAATTGTTTTCCGCGGCACAACATCATATCGACCACCAACAAGTCGGCACACCTACAAACGATTCACCACCATTAGCACCTCGCATATCTCGAGACCTCTCACCATAATGGCAGACCCTCTTTCCCAAAGGACAGACCCGCTCTATCAAAAAGATGGCCAAAAATACAACCATACCTCACCCATAACCTCAATCTATCCACTATCATCTCTGTCTCCAGAAACCCAGTCGCTCTTCAAGCCACCACCAGAAACAGAACCCTACGTCCTAACAACGCCTTCAACAATATTCCACGCTCAGGGCGGCGGCCAACCCTCGGATACTGGAACCATTTCCGCAGGATCCACAACATTCCACGTGCATCAAGTGCGAAAGGTAGATCCTACGATATTGCATATGGGTGTCTTCTCTTCTCCTTCAGAAAAGCAGTTCGAAGGAAAAGTCGACGCTGAACAAAGCATCGATGTAGAAAAACGTCGTCTGCATTCCCGCATCCACACGGCAGGCCACGTAATCGGTCTCGCAGCTGCCCACCTCAGGGCTGCCGGTTCAATAGCTCCGGACGTGGTTGATGGAAAAGCATCCCATTACCCCGGCGCAGCCTTTGTAGAATTCTTGGGTCTCATTCCAAGCGACAAAAAGGCTGAAATACAGGCTCGAGTCGACGAGATGGTGGCTGCAGACATGGACGTCAAGATTCACTTTTGGGACGAAGAAAAGGCGAAGAAAGAGTGTACAGGGGTCATGGAGACTCTGAAAGGGGATGAAGAGGATGGGGTCAGGGTCGTGGAGATAGGAAGCGAAGGAAGCTACCCTTGTGGGGGTACGCACGTGCAGAAGCTGAAAGAATGCGGGAAAATCGTGGTGAGAAATATCAAGAGACAGAAAGGTGTCACCAAGGTGAGCTATGAAGTGCAAGAAGCTTGATTAGATGCAGTGATTTGATCTTGCACACTATGTGTGTGCTCCACGAAAATGCATTCAGCTTTGTTCCTTATTGAAAACTCCACCACTTTTTCTACCTGGTATCATATCCTAAATCCTAAAAAGCCGGCTCGGCTGTTTTTCCACGCCCAACCCCATATGCAGACAGATGCATTTGTCTTCTCCGATGCCCTTAAACAACTCCTCGAAGCACATACAGCTCTAGGCCAAGTAACCAGCAAGAACCTGTTTGGAAGTGTCGTCCAAACGCTCTTGCATAATCGTGGCGACACGGCCATTGTGACGGCTGTTAGCGTCCTTCAAATAATTTCCCACCCACTCCTTCACGTTAGTGATCTCCGGGAAGGGGTCTCGCGGCGCCTTCTTGCAGGTGTTTAGCTGGGTGAAACCAACGCCGAAACCGAGCTCATCGACATCGGCATCGGGAATGATGTCGTCTGCAGACGTGGGTACAGGCGGGTTGACGAGAAGCTCAACCAGGCGCTGTGTCGTAAGGGCCCAACCCTTGGGGTAACGATCAACAAAAGCTTGCGAATCGCCCAGTGTCTTTGTAAAAGACACCACAGCGGTCTTGCGATCGGTCGGGCGGGCGAGCTTCTGTGTGTCTGGAAGGATGACAGTCAAGTAGATAGGCTTGAAAATACTGTTATAACATTAGCAAGCGTTTCAATAGCTTCTGAAACATGAAAATGACTTACTCTTTCTGGATCTGATCGGAAACTTCGATGAAGAAGTCTGTGCCAAGTCCCTTGTCCAGTCGTGCCGAAACGAAGTGATAGAATGCGATGAAACGCTGCTGGAAGTTCTCAGTCTTCATGTTTGACAGCCTTGTCAGCATCAGCTGGAGAATTGTAGAGAAGTAGGGTTGCAGCGCGTTCGCTGGAATATGTGCGACAACGGCTTCAATAAGCTCAAAGGAGTACGTCTCGTGCGCCTTGCTGGTAACAAGCTTCTGGAAAATACCCAGGATGGGCTCCAGTTGCTTGGTTGCAACGATGTTTTCTGCGTCGCGAGCGACCATTGCACTCAGCAGACGAGCTAGCGCTGGTACGTTACCACGTTGCTCCCAGACAGCACCCTGGATGATGACAACGAACAGGCCCCTGTAGTATTCGCTCAACCCACTTGAAGGGTTTGCTTCTAGCAGCGCAGAGAAGAGCTGGAAGATGTAAGGGGAAAACTCCTCGACATTGGCTTGCAGGCAAGCAGCGAACGGCTCGTAGAGCTTTTCCTCGAAGAACTGAGGATGTTTCGGCGCGCAAAATCGAACGAGTGCTCCTATGCCCTCGAACATGTAGTACTGGAAGCGAGGATTGCTAGGGTTGTGCCTTATGACCTTGACGATGTTGATGAAACTCTGTAGGATGGTCTCGCAAATCGGTAGAACTCCGTCACGAATAAAGATGAGCACTCGCATGACGCACTTCATCAGGAACTCGTTCTCTTGGATCTTCTCCGGCGCGGAGCTCTTTGTGATGAGCTTGAACAGGTGTGTCAATAAGTCTTTCGATGAACCGACAACGTCTGCCTTGGGAATGATGGGCTGTCGATTGCTGTCTGTCATGTACAGAGCACGCTCCACAGCAATAGCAGCGTATGTGTGAATGACGTAATTGTCGTTGCCCAACTGATTTACGAGCAGAGGGAATGCAGCCCGCCAGAGGTCTGGCGACAACTGGCTGCGGAAGACGTAGAGAAACTTGATAGCGTCAACCTTCAAGATGGGTGATACTTTTTGTGCCTGGAGGTCAGCTGCAATGTGTGTCTGGAAGAACTCGAGAATGTTGACATTCTCGTTAACGCTCATAACACCTTGGCCAGCGGTAGCGGTTCCCTTGGCGGCAATGGCGGTGAAAAGGGAGACTGCGGGATCTTTTGACTTCCAGTTGTTCTCGCTGTCCTGAGCGTAGTTTTGGAGGTAGGCATCGATATACGTTTGGGAGGTAGTTGTGACCAAGGTCTCGAAGCGGGTCATAAGTTGACGCAAGAAGTTGGTGGCAGCACGACGGCGAGTGTCGTTATCGGATCCTTCCAAGTCCCTCCTGATGAACTCAATTGGCTCGTCTTCGAAGAGCTCGACGTCGGACTCGCGCAGAGTGAGATTGGGCAAGATGACCTTCTCGATAATCTGAACCAAGACGGACTGGTTGTTGAAGGCCTCAGCGTGTTGCGTAGACGCGACTGCCGTGAGGAACTGTAACGCCTTGCTGACGAGGATATCGTACTTTGTCTCGAGGCCAACCGACATGAGGAAACTCCATGTGCTCTCGATGAATTGTCCAAGCTGGGAGCCAAATACGTCCTCGTACTTTTGAATGTAAAGCATGAGCGCCTCGAAGATACCCGCGCGTACATACTCCTGTGGCCCTGACTCGGTGTCATCGTCGGTGTGTAATGCGGGGTTGTCGAAGACGAGGTACTTGTGAAGAAGCCCTGAGATGATGGAGATGTGGTCTTCGAAGACGGGAGGCAAGTCCTGGCAAGAAAGATCGTAGAACAGCTTGATAAGTAAGTCTAAGGTTGTGAAAGCGTTCTTGAGCACCTGTGGGTTGCCTTGGGAGTTTGTGATGAGGGTGTCGGTGTTCTCGAGCAGTTGGAGGAAGGGAGTGCCGAACTTGGACAGGACGTGGTTGATCTCGGTGAAGAGGTCGTCGGATCGGAACAGCGGGCGCCAGCGCTTGAAGATGGAGTGCGCGACTTGTAATACACCGTTGTTGACCACTGTGTTGTCGGGAGTGAGTCGTGAAATCAGGTCGTCGACCAGGGTATCCCATCGCTGCCAGAAGTCGCTGTCGGCAATGGCGCTAATGGCTTCACCCAATTGCGCTTGTAGGTTTGCGGGTACGGATACCATGAGGCCTATGAGTTCCCTCTTGATTGCCACAACCTCGCTCTCGGGCAGTTTGTAGTTGCCATCCTCGTCGACCCAATTCCGCTTTATGAAATTTTTGAAGTATAACGCAGCGGACAGGCGTGTGGTTTGGGGATTTGCGTCGGAGGCGACGATCTGGAGGAGGGTGAGGGAGAAGCCGGGCTTGGTCTGCTCTTGGGTGATTGCTTCTTCGGCTTTGAAAAGTTAGCATGTGGTGTTGAATAGTGTTGAGAGGCGGAGGGGCAAGTTGGCAAAATGCGCATATGTCGGCATGTGCAAGACAAACTGCTTGGGCGTCGGATATGCATGGAAATGTATGCATATCCTCTTATACGAGAAGTACAGGCTACACGACGTGCAGCACTGCGGTAAACAATGGTACTCACCCTGCTTGTTCTGCCGAGGGTCCAAACTGGCCTGGAGCAGCTGGGAGAGGGTAGCGATGTCGGCGGCCATGGTGATGGGGTGGAAGCAGCAGAGGATCTAGACGGGTGGCTTGGAGTGAGAAAGAGAGCAAATGTTTGGCAGATGGTTGCTGTTTGGGGTGTCCCACTTTAGGGCGCTAAGGCCTAGGAAGAGCTCTGGCGTGGACAGGGATTAGGTACATAACCCCAGATGATTTTCCGAGAGAGCATCCATGACACGACAAGATGCTGTCTTGCTCTCTCCCCGCCGAGTACGCCACTACTTCGTCTTCTCCCCAGGCGTAACCCGTCGCCGCCTCGTCCCGTGCAGCCGCGTTCCCTCCCCACTCCTAAATGGGCACCATAGACAGCCCCGCCTCTCCGCCGACCAGCACCCATGATAGACTCGATGCGCCTGCGCCACTCTCACAGCTCTCTTCTCTAGCCTTTGCAGCGGCAGTCCTGGAGCCTACCTACTAGACATTCACCCGGCGACGCTGATCCGCGACACCCAGACGCATGTCTCCGCCGCCCGACCATGTCCCCCACACGCCCGACCGCCGCTCCTCCACCCAGGCGCTCTTCACAGCCTTCCGCTCTCTGACGGGCGGCCGTCTAAAGAGCCCGACGCCGCCGCCCTCTGTCTCGTCTGCCACCAGCACGCCTGCGCGCACTCCCTCGCTGGGCACCATACGTCCCGGCTCCATCCCTAGCCCGCACTCAGCCGACGGTACCCTTCAACGCATCAGCCAGGTCACAGGCCAGCGGACGGGCAAGCCTGTTACCGGCGGACCACCAGAACTCGACGACCTGATCGAGCAGCTGCATCGGAACCGCCCCTTCGCCGAGCGCGCCGTGGCCGTGGACAAGATATGTGACATCCTCGAGGCGTATCCCGTGCAGAACATACTGGGGCTATGGTCTGTCGCAAGCGACTTGCTCCTTCCCGAACAGCCAGACGATGTCGCAGAGGCGGGGTACAAGCTCCTGAAGAGCTGTGCGTCCCTGTCTGACCTGGCCAGCATCGAGCGCACTCTCTTCTTCGACGCCGCTTGTCTGCGTAAGAACGACCACTTCTTCGACCGGAGACTTGAAGTCATTACCACTCTCACCAATCATGGGCGCGACATTGATTCGTGCGAGTCGGGCATGGTCTCCTTCATCCTGACCTCCTTGGACAGCTGCTTCCAGGCTAGTTGTGATGCCTTCCGCGGCATGAGGAGCAAAGCGAATGGGAAAAGGAGTGCCGCCAACCCTCCCCAAGAAGCCGCAAACATGTTTCGAGCCTTCCAGTATGCTACCGACATCTGCAAGTTCAACGCCAAAGTTTTTACCGACGACGACTTGGATCTTCTCATACGACGGACGGTCGCTATCTGCAGGGCTACAACTCATCGACCTGATGTCGAGTGCGGCGTCAAACTTTTCGATACAATCGTCACCTACGTCCATATCCCGAGGCGCTCACTTCGCATGTGTCTCGAGGTTTTGTGTGAAATCCACAAGAGAATCACCGAACTTCAGGATCAAGCCTGGAATACGTTGAGCAACCTGTTCAAGTCTCATGTTGGTCAGGCTGCTATATCCGAACTGCTGCATATGCTTCTGGACGGCCCAAGCCGAGAGACCTTGGAAAACGACGGGCTCAAGAGGAAGCTAGAGAGCATGTACAGGGGCACGACTCTGGTCTTGCGCCTTCTCCTCTTAGAGGACGGCCGAAATGAGCTGCCCAAAGTGCCCCTGTCCCTGCTCTTCCCAGCTTTGAACGCTTCCATCAAGATACCAGGTACCGACCAAGAGCAGATAGTGGTCAGCCTGATAGATGCGGTTCTAGCTCAAGAAGGCATGAGGGACCTGTTGCTTGCGGAAAGTGACTTGGGAGACATGCTTCAAGTTATACGTGTATGTGCAGAACGTGACGACGAGCGTATCCGAACCAAGACGACTAGGTTGGCAGATCATGGAAGCGACACAAAGAAGGACGTCATTGAAAGACAGATGTCGCCTCATGGAGACAGCTCATCCAATGCTAGCAGAGCAGAGCATAGCAACGACGCTTCTGCACCCCACCCGGAGCTCTTGCGGCGTGACTCAGATGACGGTATATATCAAGTGTTGGTCAAACTAGATCACATGAGCGACGCACTCGACTTCATCCAACGCGAGGCTGTGATGGAGCTCTTCTTGCTAATCTCACACCGTATCAGTGATGCGACTGCGGAGAGGGTCATACAATACTTTGCCACCGGACGCTACCTCAACCCTTCGAACGCCGGGTGGCTTGATCTTTGCCACCGTCTGGTCTCTGGTATCTTCGACGATGCTACAAGACCGCGCTCACTTCGATTGCTCGTAATCCAGTCGCTACGGGAAACGCACGATGCTGTTGAGTTACTGTGTTCGAGCCAAATAGTATTGGAGTCCGAAGAACTTCTTCTCAGCCGGATCCAAAAAGAAGAGGACATAGAAGTCTTGCAAGAACTGGTGGACTTCGCGATGAAGGTCGCTGATCAAGCATCAACGGCCCGCTTCTCACACATTGTTCTCATTTTACAGCGACGTCTGGACCGCCCACAAGCTTCCATGACGTCCTCTCTACCGTCATGGCAGTCTCACCCCTTTCTTCTCAAAGAAGATGGTTGTTCCCCTTGCAACATCATCGCAACTGCTTACGTACGGCTCTTCACTCGAAGCGTGACACATTCGGCGCAAAAGACACGCATTCTTTACGAACTACTACGGCAAATTGCTGGAAGGGACGCCTATGCGCATGATGCACGTCTTACTGCTCTCAAACTACTATTCCGGTTACGCGCTGATGCCCGCCACGCTCTGATAGTCAGCTCTGACCCTGAAGGCCAGAGGATTGCCGCTGAACTTTGCCGCACCGAGGAAACAGCGGTTGCACCGGAGAAGATGGATGAAGGCTCAGCGGGTGACCATAGCAGATCAGAAGATACTCTCTCGTGGCGCGAGCAACGCAAGACTTCTGGTTCAAGTCCTCGGTCTTCCCTCAATCGACATACAGGCCGCACAACTGCTCCAGCCGGTCGTGTTTCGAAACCGATACCTCCCTTGTGGATGTATCCTGGTCCCAAAGGATTACCTGAGGAACCTCCATCTGACTCAAGCCGGGTCGTGTTCTCTCACATTGACGCGGCAAAATATCCCCTGGATGATGACATCTTAGACATGGAAATTACACTGTGGCTCGAGTTGATCATCTCACTTCTACAGAGACCACCTGACTGGGAGATCTATAGTTACGTACTCGTCCATCTTGGACCTCAACTCTCGAACCAGGCGCTGGTCCGCAGTTGTGTTGCTCAGCTCAAGATGCTGCGAAATGTTCTTTGTGAACAGGTGCGGAATGCGAGCTTCCACGAACCTCCGCCACACACGCTTCTGAAAAAGGCTGATGTTGCAGTGTGCCTGTTTCACATACTGACTATCATCATCAGCTATCACGAGTATTTCGAAAAGAGCGAAGAAGACGATCTTGTTAAAGCATTCCTGCAGGGCATCGTACAATGGGATAGAACTTCAAAATGGTGTATTCACGCACTGTCGGTCTGCTGTTTCGAAATCCCGCTCTCGGTTAGCAAGTCGCTTGACAGCATTATTCAGAAAATGTCGCAAATCATCACTAAGCCGGCCACGGCGATACACATCTTGGAGTTCCTCACTTCTTTAGCGCGTCTTCCGGAGCTCTTCAAGAACTTCCGTGAAGACGAGTTCAAGTTGGTTTTTGGTGTGTGCTTCCGATACCTACAACACATACGCGACCAGCGTGACAGAACGGTCAATGGGCATTCGTTGCAAAGTGGGCATCGGACCCTGCGGCATAGTGGTGCATCGCGAGACTTTGCGGCATCGTCAGATTCCATTGCAAACAAGCCAAGAAGTGTTGAGGACGACTTACCCCAGTATCTTTACTCGCTCGCGTATCACGTCATTACATTCTGGTTCATGGCATTGAAGATGGAGGACCGTCCGAAGCAGATACCGTGGATCACGAAGAACCTATACTATACCGATAGCTCTGGGAGGCAAGTCATGGAAGAGCAAGGACAAGTCATTTTAGATATCATGAATATGGTAGCGTATACAGATCGCGATGAGACGACGCGGGAGGAGAGCTCCTTCAAACCTGGTGATGGCGAAGTCTGGAAGAAGACCTGGATCGTTGGTAATGCTCTTATAACAATAGAGACTGCGGCAAGGACAGGTGCCTCCGTCGTTACAACACGTCGGCCAGTACGTCATCCGAGTTGCTAATGGGTAATACATCTGCTAACGACTGACAGTGCGGTACTCGCTTCATCAAGGTGCGGCCCCTAATTACCTCACCGCCGCGACATCAAGTACCGATCACTATCGGCCTTGCCTCTGAAGCATTCTACTCCAACACTTATGTTGGAATTCTACCAGACGACATCTTCCAATCCTTCTACGCGCCGCTCGACCTCAGTAATCCGCCAATTCCTTTGCCCGACGACGAGCCGACACGCCGTGCTATTACTACATTCGACCGAATCGCAACGGTTGACAACTACAAAGTGGGTGTCATCTATATTGGCGAAGGCCAAACGAACGAAAGAGATATCTTCATGAACGACATGGGGTCCCCAGCGTATACCGCGTTCCTTAGCGACCTAGGTACCTTGTGCCGTCTGAAGGGTGCAAAATTCAACACTGGTGGTCTGGACACTCGCGAGGATATTGATGGCGAGTTTACCTATTGCTGGCGCGACCGCTGCATGGAGCTCGTCTTCCACATTCCTACAATGATGCCTACCAACCGCGATGACGACATGACATACCCAAACAAAAAACGACATATTGGTAACGACTTTGTCAACATCATCTTCAACGACTCAGGGTTACCTTACGATTTTAACACATTCCCGTCCGCCTTCAACTACGTACACATCGTGATTTCCCCAGAGTCTAGGGCTAGTTTCGTTGACCGTCGACTGGACGCAGATCCCGACGGCAGGAATCGCTACTACAAGATCCAGACCATTTCAAAGTCAGGCTTCCCCGATATATCTCCTGCTGTCGAGACAAAGATTCTGTGTGGCAAGTACCTTGCTGACTACTGCCGCCTTATGGCCATCAACGCGGTCGTCTTCTCCAGTGTATGGTACATTCGTGAAGGAGGCGAGTCTATATCATCCTGGCGTAACCGACTTCGCGAGATCAAACGCCTCCGGGAGCGCTACGGCGCAAATGATGCTCTGCCAAGCCACCCACCACCTTCGTCACCAGCGGGAAGTCAGGGTTTGTCGAGCCCGCCATCTCGCGAACAAAACCTAGTTTCGCCGTTCCAGCGCATGAGTATCGCGACTCATATTACCGATGGTACCAGTCGCAGTTCCGTCAGCAGCTCCTCGCACGATGTTTGATATTATGTGCCAAAAGTCGATTGTTTCTGGTGTTCCAACAGGTCTTACAAACATATACCCAGAGGCTTGATTACCTCACAAAAGTTCTTTGAATTCGCGTTTGTTTGATACGACGACAGGGAGGTTGAGTATGAGCATTGCGTGGCGTTGCTGAACGGCTTTGGCCTAGGGTAAAAGTTGTTGCTTGCTTCTACTATATTGTATAGGACGAAAGACTATGGATGTCATGGCAATGCGCCTCTAAGAAAACGATGAGATGTGCTCTTGTACTTTACTTTAAACTATACGATCTTCACTTGGAAACCTCGTACCTCTATGCATAGTCTGTTCGTGCAAGATGTCACGCTATGAATATTGCCGATTGTGATTCTTTATGTGGAATGAGTGTGGTATTGATGGGCTGCTCCAGGATGTTGTTTTGCGAACAAATGACATCAGACTTCACACCGCTTACAGCATCCCACATGCCCAGCTGAGCTTGGTGAAGCTTCCCCCACAACTCAATAGTTCCCGCCGAAATGGAACGCAGCGGGTCCGAACGACCTTCAAACGACAGCTTCCATTCGTGATGGCGATCAGTCAATAGTTTTGGAAATTGCCATACGATCGCACTTGCATGACTCTATTCAATTAGCAGTCACAAGACATCTCTCTCACCCTCTCGCAACTTGGTCGACGAGTCATTCCAACACCAACCCACAAAGCCACCCACCATCGAGCTCTGCAACACAGAACCATGGCACAGGTTCAACGGCCTCTGATTATTCAGTCGCAGATGATACGACTGTGCTGTCCGCGTACGGCCAGAAAGACACACAGCGCATTGTTTGCTAGAGGGAGTTGCTACCGGAAGCTGCATACCAAGACGGTTACCGACAACGACATCTCGCACTTGGCAAGCTTGCCGTTGCATCCGTTGACGCTCGCCGATCTAGTCAAGTGAGTACTGTCAGACGTGATTCAGAGTCCATCTACCAAAGACCCTGGCTAACGTTGTCGCGTGCGCAACAGACACGGAAGACCTCCGCTCACAACCCAACAACTCCTCACATCCGCCAACTTTACCCTCTCGATTCTGCCCGCCCGCCTCGCGCACCGAATACAATCGCTCCGCAACCTCCCGTTTATCGTTGTATCTAATCCTCATGTCTCCAAGATACACTCGAATTACATGCATAGCTTGTCGACGCTTTTACCATGGGCCGAGCAGGAGATAACGACGCTGGAGGAGGAAGTCAAGTTTACGGAGGTCATGGCAGACCTGGTACAAACACATGCCAATACTATTAGTATACTGGCAAGAGGGTTTTTAGAGGCTAGGAAGTACATCACCCCCAAGGACGTGACGCGTTTCCTGGACGAGCATCTACGAGCGCGCATAGGCACGAGATTGATTGCAGAGCAACACCTCTCGCTGCATTTCTCCAGTCAACCGCATTGCGATGTGATGCACGATGTAGACGAGAACCCAGGATATATTGGTGTTATCGATACTAGGCTCAGGCCCGCGAGGATTGTAGATCATTGCGCAAACGTGGTGGGCGAAATCTGCGAGCTGAAATACGGCGTCCGACCGACCATTGTCATCAACGGCGAACCCGACTACGAATTTGCGCATATACCTGTTCACCTCGAATACATCATCACTGAACTGCTCAAGAACGCGTTCCGCGCGACAGTAGAGAGTGGCATGGAGCGCGAACCCATCGAAGTGACCATTGCCCCACTTCCGGAACTCGTACCTGAGGATAGGAGAAGCGAGAACGTAGAAGACGTTCGCAATAAGAAGATTGAAAATGAGGACCAGGGAAATGTAGACCAAGTCTCGCAGCGCTTCACAGGCAACAACTCGCCTACATCGCCTCCACCCGACTCGAACATCCTCCCCCTCAAGCACAGCACGCCGGGAGTAACAATAAGAATCCGCGACCGAGGCGGTGGCATCTCCCCTGACAACCTCTCGCATATCTGGGACTACAGCTTCACGACCTTCAACGACGCGCAAGCAACCTCGACCCTCTCAGGTGGTAATAACTCAGCCAACGGCATGGATGCGCTAAACGCTTTTTCAGGAGCAGGCGGTGATGGAGTGAACAGTCTGGCTGGGCTGGGCTATGGATTGCCGCTGGGGAGGGCCTACGCGGAATACTTTGGTGGGGGTATTGCGGTACAAAGTCTCTGGGGATGGGGTACCGATGTGTACCTTAGTTTGAGAGGTGTGGGGAGGGTAGACACTGTGCAGGAGGCCAAGGAGAGCGCAAGGAGGAAGCAGAAATGAAGACACCAGAGGGAGGAGAAGACAAGTTATCGGCACGGCTGTCAATTATCGCTATATACCCATGAAATCATGTGCTCATGCATCATGCCCCCGCATCGTCACTCACGGTATTACATTTGGATCTTTGTGGTATCCATCAGTGGTGGCTGTGTAGACGACCTATTGCGTACGGACCTCGGCGTCCTTCTCGACGGTGACGTGCTCGTTGGACTCGAGGGTTGAGACGGCGTCGTCAGGGATCTCAGCACTGTGACATGTCAGCCGTGCTGCGGGGAGATGTGGGCATGCCAGTACGTACGTGAAGCCCTTAATGAGGGTGAACTCGTTGACGATCTTGCCGCCCTGGTCGGTGACGTGCTTCTTTGCTGCCTCGAGCTCCTCCTTGGGAGCGTCCTTCTTGAGGGTGATCTTGGAGTGTTAGTACGATAACAGCGGTAGTGTGACTTGGTAGGACCCACGTTGAACTGAGCCATGCTGGAGACTTGTGTGAGGGGGTGTTTGTTTAGTTGAGGGGTAGTTTAGTGAGTTATAGTGGTGTTGTGTAGATGTAAGAAGGTCAAAGCGTAGGGGTGTCTTATATACCTCAGCTATCGTAGACCGAGGACCCTGTCAACAATCCCGGGAGCAGTCTAGAGCCTTGGATAGGCGGCGTCTGAGATGACGTGCGGCCGTCCATGCCCAACATGTGAGGCATGTGCCCTGTGCCCCACCACAGTACGTAGAAGGCGCGTCTGCTTATCGATAAGCATATCCCTGCAGCTGCAACCTTAGCGTTTGGCCTAGCGTCGAAAAAGTTGGGATCGCGAAGTTGCTTGCCGCCGGACCTTGACTTTGCGCGCGACGAGTCCCGACCCTCGACACCACTCTGACGACTTCTACTGAGGTCTGATAGTGAGACACGAACACCAAGTCAATATGGCGGACGCACAGAGCAACCGGCCGCATCGGCCAAAGAAAGAGAAGAAACCGCATACTGGAGACAAGAATCCCAAAGCTTTCGCATTCTCTGCGCCTGGTAAACTGAAGAGGCAGGCCGCGCGCTCCACAGAAGTAGGCCGGATACCAAGTTTTGCGCAGCCCTTAGCTGACATGTACAGGTCAAAGAGAAGCGCCTCCACGTACCACTCGTTGACCGTCTTCCCGAAGAAGCTCCTCCAATCATTGTCGGTGTCGTCGGTCCTCCCGGTGTCGGCAAAACCACTCTTATCAAGAGTTTAATCAGACGATACACCAAGCAGACCCTCTCTACGCCCACTGGTCCCCTCACTGTCGTTACCTCGAAGCGCAGACGTCTTACCTTCCTAGAATGTCCCGCCGACTCCCTCGCCAGCATGATCGACATCGCGAAAGTGGTGGATATAGTCTTGTTGATGATTGATGGCAACTACGGCTTCGAGATGGAGACCATGGAGTTCTTGAACGTCCTAAGCGCAAGTGGTATGCCAGGAAACGTCTTCGGAATCCTGACACATCTGGATCTGTTCAGGAAACAAGAGACGCTCAAGCTGCAGAAGAAGAGACTCAAGCACAGGTTTTGGAGCGAGTTGTACCAAGGTGCGAAGCTCTTCTACCTCAGTGGTGTGGTGAACGGGCGATACCCGGACAGAGAGATAATGAATCTTTCGAGGTTTCTGAGTGTCATGAAGAATCCGAGACCGCTGGTATGGAGGAACTCGCATCCGTACTGTTTGGCGGATAGGTTTTTGGACATCACGCCTCCAACCGATATCGAACAGAACCCGAAATGCGATCGCACGGTAGCATTGTACGGATATCTGCGCGGCACAAACTTTCCTGCTGGAGGGTCGAGGGTGCACATACCTGGTGTTGGAGACCTCACAGTTACCTCCACGGAAGCGCTGCCCGATCCATGTCCAACGCCCTTTGCTGAGAAAGCTGTCGAAAAAGCCTCCGGAAAGAAGAAGCGCACAAGATTGGGCGAGAAGCAGAAGATTCTGTATGCTCCAATGTCGGATGTCGGCGGTGTGCTTGTCGACAAAGACGCCGTCTACATTGATGTCAAGACTGCGACATTCGACCCTGAGGCTGACTACTCAGAGAAGGGACTGGGTGAGCAAATGATGATCGGACTGCAGGGTGGGCGAAAGCTCCTTGGCGAAGACGATGGAAACTTCAGGCTCTTCAAAGATGGCGAAGTCGTGGATAGGAAGGCTCTCGAGGATGATACCGCGGATACGGGCCGACGGTCTCAACGGAAAGCTAGAGCAGCAGACGCTGAAGAGGTCGACGACGAGGATCTTGAGGGAATTGATAGCGACGACGAAGAACTACAGCAAGACCATAGCGATGCGGACGACGACGAAGATGATACTGGGTTCCTTGACACCAATGGACCACCAAACGGCAAGCTGAAGGTCTCGCGCAAAGAGAAGGATGCAGATACAGTTGAGGATGTGGCATTTGCAGACAGTGACTCTGATCTAGGTTCGATATCTGGTGATGAACCTGATCTGGAAGACCTTGCGGGTGACCTTGATTCGCAAGACTCCGATGAGGATGACATTGAAGACGGCGCACGATGGAAGGCCAATCTTCAGGAGAATGCTGCGAAACTACACGGACGAAAACGGCCGTATCGCGTCACAGATCTGGCGAAGATGATGTACAATATGGATCTAGCGCCAGAAGAGGTCATCAAGAAATGGAGAGGCGATGAAGAGGAGGAAGACATCGATGAAGAAGGTGACGAAGATGACGGCTTCTTCAGCAAGAGAACAGCCGACGACGCTACCAATGCCGAGGACCGCTATATCCCCAAGTTCAACTACCAAGAGTTGGAAGAGAAGTGGGAAGACGAGGAAAACGTTGAGGCTCTCATGGGCCGCTTTGCTACCGGTCATATGAACGGCAAGGGCGGTGACGATGATGAAGAAAACGACGATTTTGAAGGTTTTGACGAAGATGATGAAGGTGACGGCGAGTTTGAAGATTTGGAAACCGGCGAGAAGCACGGTGGCGAGACTGAGGAAACTGGCGCCGAAGCTGAAGCAAACTCAATTGAAGCAGAGCGCGAGAAGAACGCACGGCGGAAAGAAGAGCTAAAGCTTCGATTTGAAGAAGAAGACCGTGAAGGCTTCATGAACGATAAAGCTGATGCACGGAAAGAAGGTGACAAAGAGGAAGAGTTTGGTGAAGACGACTGGTACGACGCACAAAAGGCTATGATTCAGAAGCAGCTCGACATCAACCGCGCCGAATTCGACCAGCTGGATGAGCTATCTCGCGTTCGCGTTGAGGGTCACAAGGCGGGTACTTATGCACGTATTGTGCTCGAAAAAGTACCTTACGAGTTCTCTGCGCATTTCAACCCACGATTCCCTGTTCTTATCGGTGGTCTGACCCCAACTGAAGAGCGTTTCGGTTTCGTTCAGATCCGTATCAAACGCCACAGGTGGCACAAGAAGATCCTCAAGACTAACGATCCCCTCATCTTCTCCTTGGGCTGGCGGCGGTTCCAGACCACCCCAATCTATAGTATTTCCGATTCACGGACAAGGAATCGCATGCTGAAGTACACCCCCGAACACATGCATTGTTTCGGTACCTTCTATGGCCCATTGGTCGCCCCGAACACCGGATTCGTTTGCATCCAGTCTCTCTCGAATAAGACGCCCGGTTTCAGGATCGCAGCAACAGGTGTCGTACTCAACGTAGACGAATCCACCGAGATAGTAAAGAAACTCAAACTCACCGGCCACCCCTACAAGATTTTCAAGAACACCGCTTTTATCAAAGACATGTTCAAATCCAGCCTCGAAATTGCAAAATTCGAAGGCGCCAGCATACGCACAGTTTCCGGTGTGCGTGGACAAATCAAGCGCGCACTAAGCAAGCCAGAAGGAAATTTCCGTGCTACCTTTGAAGATAAGATCCTTATGAGCGACATCGTCTTCCTAAGAGCTTGGTACCCCATCAAGCCCCGCCGCTTCTACAACACCGTTACCAACCTGCTTAACCCCGCCACCCCTGACCAAGAAGGCGAAAGCACCTCCTGGCAAGGTATGCGTCTCACAGGTGTGGTACGCTACGAGAATGGCATCGCTACACCGTCTGAGAAGAACTCTGCCTACCGCCCGGTCGTCCGCGAGACCCGTGTCTTCAACCCACTCCGCGTGCCTCGCAAACTCGCCGCAGATCTTCCCTTCAAATCGCAGATCGCTACGACGAAGCCTCAGAAGAAGCAGACATACATGCAGAAGCGTGCTGTCGTCCTCGGTGGTGAGGAGAAGAAGGCTCGAAGACTCATGGACCAGGTCATTGCTATTCGCAATGACAAGGTGGAGAAGAGGCGTAAGAAGCAGGAAGAGAGGAAAGATCCGTACAAGAAGAAGGTGGCTGAGAATGCTGAGAAGAGAGCGGAGCGCGAGAAGAGGGAGAAGCAGGAGTACTGGGCCAGGGAGGGCAAGAAGAGGAGTCACCAAGGCGAGGACGGTGGTGGTGGAGGCAAGAGGAGGAAGTAGAATGAACAGTTAAGCTAGAGGCAGTTTATTTCAGTAAAACGTTGACGGGGTAGTAAAGTAGCATTTCGTGGCGTTCAAATGTGGTACTGTAGTTGATAAATCGTTATTTATTGTTCATGTCTCTTCTTCTTCTTCTTCTACGTATCTAAAAAAGTATGTCTTGCTCATCGTCTGTTATGAACAACTGCACGTGCGCAAAGGAGACGGGACGCATATGGGTGAAACTTGGTCTTCTTATTGTTGCATCCGCCATTACACAATATAATTCCTGAGGCTATGTTGCCCTATCAGGTTGTCACTCGCCTACACGCGCGCAATGATTACATTGCTTATGCTGCGCATCTTCCCTTCCCATCTTGTTCTAATCCAGTGCTGCTCCAAACAGCCATATGCGCCAACCGTATGCAACGCAATCATGAGATAGAAGAGGAAAGGATTATATATGCTCATTGTCGAAAATGCTGATGCCCTGAGATGTGAAACGCCAGTAACATGCAGATGAAGGAAAGAACAGAAATGGGGTATTGAACGCCGAAAGTGTACACGTATTGTGTACGATGGAAGAAGAAAACGGAAAAATTGTATTATCCCTGCTGTCATGGTCGTTTCTTTGTTTCGCTATCCGGTTTTCTTCCCTCTATGGTATCACTCGCTCTTCTGGGAGACCATGCTGATGGATCAAAGTGAATGGCGACTAGCCAGGCACAGAGTATGTTTGCTAGGTGATGCAGGACATAGGCGTATGTAACACCGTAAACAGCAGCATATGCGCCAATGGAGAAGAGCAAGATGTTTGTGAAGAACGAGACACGGAACTCCGCTCGAGGAATCATGCGGCCGGTGCTCAGGGTTTCAACGAGCAGGATAAACGGCATGATGGAGAGGATGTTGTGGTGCGAGGAGAAAGGCGTCATCCAGTGGACTGCCAGGTTGCGTACCCAAACCACCAGTACTGGGAGGTTGATGGGTAGTATCCAAAACATCAGGATGAAGATCGAGTGAGCGTAGTTGTAGAAGTTGTAGTTCGAGTCGAGACTAGACTCTCTCGCCAGTCGAAACGCGCGGACGCTAGTTGCAAGCTGCACCAGGCAGAGTACAACGTAAGCGAAGTGATATGGTATCACTGTTGAGACGAGTGATAGCAAAATGCATGTGGTGACGACGCGCTGCCGGTTGGATGTGACTGCGAAGGCTGATGGGGATCTCTTTGCTTCATCCTTCCGAAGTCTGGTTGATATGACCACAGAGTACAGAGAGGCGAGCGTAAGTTCTATTAGAAGCACGGCGTAGTTGATAGCCACGCAAACGCCAATGCACATCAAACCAAACAGTGGGACAAGGAACCAAAAGAAGGTATCGTCCGAACCGAGGAGCAATTCGTTGCTGGCAGTATCGAGCAAGGATGTCATGTTGGCAGACTTCCCACCGAAAGACCATTGCTTTGACTGATGTTGGGCACCTGCTAGCGCAATCGACAGAAATGTAAGTGCCGACAGAGCCAGCGGAAGTGAACTCTTCAGGCACTCATTTAGTCCCTGAGTAAAGCTCATAAAGACTCCACTGTTGTCGTACGTTCTGAACTGTTGGCGTAAAACCAAGGCAACGACCAGGATTGGGAATGCGGCAAAGATGATGCGGTAACGCATCCAGAGCTTTCCGAAACTGCCTAGTATATCCACATTCAAATTGATCTCGACACTGCTATCGCAAGTGGGGTCAGACCAAATCTGCAGTGATAACCCGTTGGAAGGCTGCTTAGCGTGCAGAGCAGGTGGCATGTATGGCGATACACCATGTAGGTTGATGCTAGCATCCTTGACATTGACGAAGAACTTGCTTTCGTAGATGTCGGTAACGTACTGCCGCAGTAGAGGAGCGAAGAGCTCTCCTGCGTCGCACGACTGCTTGCCAATGTGGATGTTGTAGGCTAGAAGAGCAGAGTGCAAAGCTGGGATATTGATGTCCGACATCAGTGGACGCTGTGCTGGAAGCCTCAGAGACATGCCAGTCGTCAGAAGGCGCTGTAAACCCATATCAACGACGATTTGAGATTCAGGGGCAGCGCTGAACTCGGCGACTACCCAGCCTGTACTGCGCTCACTAGCCTTGTCAACGACTGCTACGAATTGATGCTCTGCCAGATCTTCGAGATCATATTGGAGGTACGAAAAAGGGCGCTCGTCCATCTTGAACGGATGGGTCGAGTGACGCGTCGAGGCGGGAAGTGCGATGACATCTGAGGCGGCATTCTTGCAGGCAAGTCGTGTGGCACCGACACTGTCGCCCGAGAGATCCATGTTCATAGAAAACAATGTAGTCGACTGACCGGGTTGCGATGGAAATACACTGCAGAACAGCACCTCAAGCAGGCCATGATCTCCAGGGTGGTCCAATGGTTCGCTGGTAAGAAGTGTAAACTTCTTTCCTGCAGCCTGTGGCGGTACGGGGATGAGGTGCGCATTGGGCCGCTGCTTGGACTTTCCAAGACTTCTGAGCACTAGCTTTTCGCCTTCTGAAATGATAGCACTATTCTCTTCGAGCGTGAGAAGTGTTTTGGCTTCTTTTTGGGGTAAAGTCTTCTCGGCAATATCCTCCAGTCCCGTCAGAAACCATCTCTTGAAGCCGCGCATACGCTCCGCTCGTGGCACAGTCTGGGTTGCGCGTGACACATCAATGACTTCGTACAAGGCGCGTACGACAGCCTTCCTATGCTGGTCACACCAAGTGATTGCTAGGTGATCAATTCCAGTCCAAACGTTCGGCATCGACGTGGAGAATACAGTAAACCCATGAGTCTCAGGCACCAGCGACTCAATGCTGGCATAGTCGGAAGAAATCATAGTGTCCAAACTTCCTCCTGCAATCGAGATGAGCGTGACGTGCCAGAGCGGGTTGTCAATGGCCCATTTCTGCGAGTAGGCGCGTCGCCAGTAATCGTTCACACCCTTGTAGGTGCGAACAATATCTCCGTCAAAGGACACTGGCGGTCTGGCATGTGGTGCAGCAAGTGTGATGATGGTGTTGATCGAGTTGGCCTGGTAATTCGGCATGGTGAGCATAGTACGCGCGACAACACCGCCCATGGAATGTCCGACCACGATCACCGAGGTTGGATCCGGCAGGCTTGGGTCACGGAGAAACTTTCCTGGGGTGTGGTACAAGGATAGAATGTACGTAATGGCGTCGTTGAGGTATTCGGCCTGATCCAGCAATGTTTGGCCGTGAAAGGCGGTGATGTCCTCATTGAAATCAACTGAAAAGAAATCTAGTGGCCTCTTCCCCGCCTTGCCGGCATCGGCATCGTGTTGGACAGTGTTGTGGTAGTGGTATGCAGCTTCGGCAGCAAGGGAGCGGACTTGCTTGTAGCTGCCAGCATTCCCGGGAACGAAGAGGACTGGCACGCCCTTGACCTGAGGATTGTCAGTAAATTTCCCTTTACTCAAAGGGAAGCACATGCCCTGGTATCCTCGTCCAAGCCGCCCTCCCGATACAAGTACAACGAGTATTTGCTGGCAAAGCGCGTGTGTTCAGTGTCGAAGTTGCTGAACCTTGAGTAGGTAGGCCGCATGTAAGACATTCCACACCCTTTGACGTCCAGCTGCCTCGTCAAAAACGACTGGGCCATGAAAAACATGGCAATGAAGGCGGCCAGGGTGGTCAAGACGGTGTAGGGCGAACATGCCCAGGGAGAGCGTAGGCGTTGGCGCCATTTCTCGTTGTGATGCGCGACCATGGTGTGCGGCGGGGTGTCCTTGGCCAGCGCGCTGATGGTTGAGTCCGCGTTGTGGTGCGCCATGAGTGGAGGTAGTCGTGGAGCGGTGGGAGAGTGGAATACTGCGACTGGGTCTGTGGCCAGACGCTGTGCAGACCTGCCTGCCTCCTCCTTTGGCCTACCCTTGTTGGCCCAGCCCTGTATGTTCACTAGCGATGCCTCAGTCTGGCGGTCGAGGTTATCCTCATGTTCCGGAATTGGTGCGGGTGAATGGTCGGCGGTGGAATCGGCGTGGCCCTGCTCCGAGCTTGGGTCTGCGGACGAGCGCCGTCGCATCTAGCAGTGTGCTGGGCGGGATAACGAGAGTCGTGCCTGCCGTCTGGCGTGTCGACGAGTGCAGCCTCGAGCGCACCTTCCTTCGGCGTGGGTATACGACTCGGCAAATTTCCGGGAGGGATCTGAAGCGACTGTGGGGGTTCAATGGGCTCAAATATGGCACTCGTATACCGAGCTAGCGTTGCAGCAGTCCATGGAGGCTCCGTCGGTTTGTTGAGTGCAGAGAATGCACGGCGGGAGTGCTTGGGTGCTTGAGGAAAGGGCGTCGCAAGCTGCCAAGGAGAGCCGAGTCTAGTCGTAAATCGTGAAGTGACGAGCGACAGGATCACCGCAGGGACCCTACACGCACCCGGCTGCCTCGGAAGATCTGCAACCACCGTAGTGGCAATGCGCCAAATTCACGTCCAGGGAGGGGTAGAGCACCGCGCGCCCTCGTTATCTCAGCTGGGTAGCATGGTGGTGTTGATGCACAATCTTTGCAGCCGTTGGCGGGTCGCGAGGCTGACGACAGGGTTGATGCTGAAGATGCGAAATAATCATGACGCTAGATGCCAGGATATGCCGCCGAACGCCATCAGATGCACCACGCTTCCTAGCCCATCCGGTACAGCGATAAGACAAAACAAGACAGACTGCAGTTGAACACTGAGCTTGTCTGCACTTTCTTGCTCTCTTACTCTTCGTCTCTTCGCCTTACGCATCCTGTCGACTGTCGTCTGCGGGCAGACTATGACTGCCCTGGCTGTCGCTTAACGCCGCCACAGCCGTATGTCCGATCCGCCTTCCACTTCTCACCTTCTGCTTTGCATTCTTCATGATGCAATCCGCTGCATGGCCTATCGTTTCTACAACGTCACTGTAATGCATACCATGGTCGACAACGTGCGAGTGACTCTGTAGTGCGACGTAGCGTGGTAGCCTCGGAAGGTTGAGCCGGCCACTCGAGCTAAACATGCGCTCGCTAGCAGCTAGCACCCGACATCACGAGAAGGCTAATGATCCTGCGCCATCGTGGTAATAGCTCCACAGTTGCATGGAGGTATTTTGGAGCTTTGGGTCGCCAACATCAATCCATCCATGGTAGTCACCGCTGGCATACCCGTACATGAGCCCCACCTTGCTTCAGCAACAATGGCGGCTATCTCCATAGTATCGGCATTGTGGACTGGAAACGGAGCTCGGCTGTAAGTAAAACTTATGTTCCCAGGCCTGTAGATGGGAAAGGCTTCGAGCAAGAAGTCATCGCAAGGTCCGGGTTGCCGGAGACGTCGCGAGCTTGTTGAAGCTCCTGAGAGATGGTGTTGCTCACGACAAGGCGGTTGAAAACATCTCAGAGGCTATTTGCGAACAATTCAAAAAAACATCATGAGTTTACGGACAATGTGCGCAGGTGTATAGCAAGAGCGAAGTGACTAACAGCACAAAAACACTAAACTCTAAGACAGCTGCTGGCATGGATACGCGACCCTGTGTACTGAAATCCAGTGGATCTCAACAGTCTTATCCAGCTGTAGGTGCTTGTAACTTTACAGACGAATGGTTATGTCTCGAGCAAGCCTCTTCCATAGAGCGAAACGCCTAACATGAGTCCTCACGACCCAAAAGAACACACGCGAAATTTGATCTTGAAGACAGTACAAATTCCTATCGCCAATGATTTCAGTTTGGTTGTGCAGTATAGATCTCCATCCCGATTTGATAGTAAGTAGATGAACGCCAAATCGCCCAAGGTGCTACGTCGACCCAAGCCTAGGCGGGGTAGGCAAGATTATTGTGTTGCAGCGGTCGCGAGCTGACAAACTCTTTGGTGGTTCATTTCATGTTGAATATGTTTCAGCCCATTTGTTCAGGTGCAGACTGAGGAAAACCGGGGAGGCAGGATGAATCCCAGGTGAGTTTGGCTAGAGTCGCGCATGTTGGCGATGCCTATATTGGGCGCAAAGCTTATCTAAACTTCTGACACCTCGTAGATCAAGCAGTTCTTGGACGAGAGAATGATACCTTGATGCTATGCTGCGTGGGATTGTGTTAGAAGTGGGCTGTCGGTGAAGCACAGCAGAGAGAGCCTTTTTAAAAGAGCACTTGTCGATTTTGCGTGATAGTTATGCATGGAGATGTGTCATTGAGCTCCAGCGTGCAACGAAGGCTCTGAAATATCTATGGAAATCATCAATCAATAGCGATGAGTGAGTGCAGAATCCGAGGCAATCTCGATATGAGACCTTGAATCTTGACTAAGTGTCAACAGTGAGCCCCACATAACATGACACGCGCTCCTCAACGGCGACATCATCACTAACCCACCGAATTCGCCGTCAGGAAAGTTTCAGTGCGCGTTTCCTACGCGTTCTTCGCATGTCTATGTTCCAAATGACTGATCTCAATGACAATGACACAAAGGTCGCCTCTCGTTCTGCTACCGGGTGAATTAAAGAATCAGATCATAGACTACGTCTTTGTCCGCGACCCCGGCACCGCACCTCTTCCAGTGTGCAATTCTCCATTAGCACTGTCATCGACATGTCGCCAACTGTACGAGGAATACCACGCACTTGCCTGGTCCGCAACAATTTTCAACACCAAGTGGTCGCCGGCAGACGAACTGAGCCGAAAAACTAGCGCCTTATCCCCAGCGTCCACATCAACTGTCCGAAAGCTTCAAATCAGGCTTCCCTGTGATTTCACGGAAGCTTATACGGCAGACGTAAACCGTAGACGCGTCAAGAGCTTCGGATTTGCTCGTGCAGGTCTCACAGGTCTAGAAGAACTGTTCATCCGCTACCGTCCAGAACATCACGAGAAAGGCATTGGAGGCCCAGGCCGAGAGCTCATTGTTCAGTTACTGTGGCGAATCATGTGGGAAAGAGATATTAAGCAGTTGAACAGGATCTGTATTGTTCATGACGGCACACAACCTTTCCTTTCTCTTTCTTTGCTGTACAACATGTTGCAGAACTTTACGTCGCTTCAGGTGTCGAGGCGTTGGAAAGTCCGATCCGATCTGGAACATGGACGGTTGCAATTTGAGGAGTACAGGAACGGGAAGGTTCTGAGGCAGATTTCTGTGGTCGTAGGGTTTAGCTTCTGGGAAGCTGAGGAGTACGTGGAGGTGTGTGAGCATATTCTTGAGGTATGTTAGACTATCATATGTTGCTGCGTAGTCGCTTTGGTCTAGCGCGACCATGTATAATCATAGGCAATGTTTGCATTCGGTACCGAGAGCTGACGTCGGTACAGGAGAAGCATGCTCAAGTCATTGTGGCTCGGCGCACGACATGCGAATTTATCGCCCCATTACAAGACATGACTGACGAGGCCGTAAGACGTGAGGTAGACAATCTCAACACTCTTTTTCCTGTATTAAGAGACGAGGAACCAGTACTTCAGCCACACGTTGATAAGATACGTGCTATCTGCCCCATAGATGGATGAGAACCATCAGGAAGAAACAGACGGGTACTACTGTTCACCGACAAAGGCTATTGAGGCGTCTTGACATCCTAGGGATAGTTCGGATACCAAAATACGTTCCCGTGGTTCGACCAACAAGAGTATCGTTCCCCCGGTTTCCGAGGGGACAGAGCTTCGCTTGTATTCCGATTCTCGGAGTGGTTACTGCGCAGTCCTATCGCGTTTTGTCAGACGCCACACTTACTCTCACTCCTTCCTGAGCCCGCATTCGGCTACCGCTCTACGCGTTGTGGTTAAGTAACCGCAGCAGCCCTCTTCGCCACCACCTCTAGGTCTTGTAGATCAGACGAGCATAATGTCCAATCATCTCCTCGCAACCTTCACAACCGGGTGAATATCGTATTCGTTTTCCGCGAGGTGAGTAACGTGGAGCGAGTCCTAGAACCAAGCCAAGGCGTCAGCATGTCAGGGCGATTACGCGTCGGTGGTCGGTCGTTCGGTATCTGGTCACACCATCATCGTGTTTCGATCACGCAGAAACACCGTTGACTAGGTACGGTTGAGCTAGTGTTGAGTCAAATGGCAATCCTTGGGAAGTATTTGCTGCGGGAAGGAAGGGTCGGGACGACACGGGAAGGATCAAGATATTTGGAACGAGACGGCGTGGATAAGGCAAGTAGCATCTTACGAAATTTGCCTCAGCTGGAACCTGCAGCTAGGAGAGAGCCGATCACCCATCTTTGGTGGACAAAAAAGACTATCTGGGTGAAGACTTACCCTGTTATCCTCGGCTGAGAACACCTTACTCTGCTCTCAATCTCACCGGCCAACGCGGTCACATCGTTTCTGCCTTGCTACGTCGTCTTTCACTAGCAAAACCCCTTCCACAGACCGCACGATCGTGGTCCATCGTTGCTCTATGTGACAAGGACTGTAACAGCCTGATCAAAGCGACTGGATCCCAGCGATAGACTTGGTGTTGATAGAGAGAGCATTCACCTTACCTACACTAGATCCCAATTCCATGTGCTATGGCTCGGCCCGATCATGTTCGAAGTGACTAATCCCTACCAAGCTCATGTCTCACAGACCACACCCACCTCTACCATCCTCGTTGAAACAGTGTCCGTGCCACAAAGGGGTTCTGTTAGTGTAGAAGTGCCATCTCAGTTGCCTATGTGGCCTGTTCCCTGTTCCCAGGTTGAGAAAAGCAAGGTTCTATTTGCTACCGGAGCGGTGGGAGTGATTTCTTGGCTTCTCGGTGAGTGGTGTGCTCAGAACTGAACTGTTGCAAACAACAAATGGTAATGCGTTGCCAGTGGAGGCGTATTTAGCTGTGAACCCATTGTCCGTGCCGTAAGCGAGCATGTCTACGAAGCGGAGGAGGCGGGGGTGAGCACGGAGACAGCCAATAAGAAAGCCAAATATTTATCGAAATAGTAAGATACAGCACACATGATGGCGGTGATCATGGCTTGAGAACATGTCACCTGTTCGACCCGGGTTGTATCAGGCACCCAAACCTCGTAAGTTGACAAGGGCCAGCGCTAGCGAGACTATAGTCTTGCCTCCATGCGTTCAGTTAGTGCTTCCAGCGGCCGGAGGAACGGTTATATGACCCGAATGACCTCAGATACGACCAACTGCTACCGGGTTGGTGGTTGCGGGATCCAGTGAGCTGGTAACATTTCCCATATGGTAGCTATCGCATTGATTGTGTGGGTAGCATGAGCAACACGAATCCTGTGCGCCTGTGCTTTTGAGTGTTCATCGTTCCTGCATTCTGACAGAGCACCCACCCATACACACACACACATATAATGATGACACGAACGACGAAGGAATACAGTACCTGCAGTTGAGGATGACACTACCGACCGAGAGCAAGCCACCAGGAGGGACGCGACACTACCTGCTCGGAGGACCTACAAGGTTTGCTGTGATACGAAGTGACTTGAAGGATCAAGAGTTCAAGAAGGCCTAGACACGATACTGCATACCGCTAAATGGCGCCGAAACTGCTGCTAGGGATGGAATACAACTGCAGGATCTGCCGAGTAAGCCATACGCATCCTTTACGGATGAGCTGTGCCCGTGTCTGACAAGCGCCGTGGCGTTCTAGCCGCTGTGTGAGTGGCTACGGCACTGTGTTCGCAAGAGATGCGGCATGAGGCGTGAATGATGGGACGGTCCGTCAGGTTGTAGCGATTAGGCCTCCGCAACGGGCCGAAGCAGTGTTCAGAGTGAAAAGCAACAGGTTGCAGTATGCACAGTAGTTCATCCTTCCTCATGAACGTCTCTAATGATGCCAGGGCGCATCTGAAGCTGCGACGCAGCCGTCCAATTGGGAAAAAACTTCCTCATTACGGCTGTGTGTTAAACCAGTGATCAGCCACTGACAGGTGCGCGTGAAACCCTGATTCGCTGTTCCCAGCCAGTCTTCTACATCTACCAATCAATGCGCGGCCCACTCATACAATATTCTCCTGGTTGCGTAGCAACAAACTGAACCAGGCTTTGCTTGATTTGTGCCTCTTTCGCGTATGCATCTCAGATGTTGTGTCCAGGCACCATGCCTGCAGCCACGAGGTACTCATGCGCAAAAACGTATACGCATTTTGGTACCTTGCCTCGAGTTCTTTAGCGTAGACCTTAGGAATTTGATGTGGTATACACACGTAAGCAATGCGAGTATCACCGTGGAAGGTCGCCAGTGATTCGGAGTGGCAAATGGGTTGTGAAGTCCGATGAAGACGAAAGGCTTGTCTAAGATATTCCGTGGGTGTCATATGATCAGCATTTGTGTGACCTCGACTGCATGGTTGAAGATCATATCAGACAAACCATGGCTCTGATAAGAGTATGATAGTGGAGGCGGGATGATCTTTTCGCGTGGGAGCAATGGGTAGCAGCGTTGTCATAGTGGGCTTGTGGTGAGGCGCAAGCTCGCTGGGGCTCACCCGATGCACGGAGAATCGGTGATGAGTAGGTGTGCGAGAACCAATCTGGTGAAAGAGATAAATTTAGCCGTTCAACCGCTCGTGTGGTAAGACTAACCGACTACATCTCTGAACGCCACGAGCCTGGTTGCATCACTTGGAATAGTGTACATACCAGGATTCTCGTGGAAAATGTAGTAAACACGTTTCTTGGCTAATACAGAAGGTCGCTCATAGCATGGGGCTGCAAGCAGAACGGACACTGCAGGTAGGAAGAGAAAACAGCGACAAAAACGGTAATACTGATAGAAATATGTACTGTGTGATACACACATCGCAGAGCGCCAATGCACCGTGGGTGTACATCGTCAAGTGTAACAATAGCATCGCTATGGAATAGGTCAGCCCTCCCAGACTGGTGCATAACTTGTCGCTGCATTCAAGTCGTACAAAAACGGTGCTGATGTAGGGACCGTCATGTCGGTGACAGTAGGTATGTAAAACGTCGATTCAGGTTGAATTGAGTCCAGGTCATTTCCGAATTGGTACTGGGCTGAAGAGGCCATCCCGCCGAGATGTGATACTGATTCGTCTAGCTTGTATTGCAGTAGATCCGGGAGGTCATAAAGAGACCATGGTACCTGCGCTGTTGGCACCATGTTTGTGGAGTTTGGTACAACCCATCTCTCCGGTGGAAAACCCGCAGCACTAACTTCGAACTCAACTCCATCTAACATGTGGATTTCATCAAACCACGAATCATCGTACTGGTGATAATCCAGATCGTTCAATACGGATACGTGTTCGTAAAGGGTGACTGGGCTGGGTGTCTGTGGTGATATAGCGCCTAGGTGGAGATGATTGTCCGCATCCATAGGCCGCACGAAGATGCTCGGGTCATACATGGGGCCGTCTACATGAGCATAGCAGTTGTAAGAAGCTTGTGGCCCTTGCGATAGGATCGGGGCGAGCATAGGAAAGTTCGGAAGTCCTGACTCCTGACATCTAGATGTTGCGGTACTTTCGGAATCAACATAAGGTGTGGCAGAGGTAATTCCAGGCTCTTTGGAAACAGGTAAGCTAACAGACGAGACATGTAAGTGTCGATTTGAGATAGCTTTGGCAGCAGGATATCTCGGTAATCTAGGTTGTTTCTTGACGCTTGATCGACCGTGGTTGTCTGATGTGCGACGAGTGGATCTCGGTTGACATTTGATACCTTTAGTGATGCACCGAGAGCATGAAGGTGACTATGAAGTGTTAGTGTTGGGAAATTCGGTCAGGCGGAATATACGCGATTCTCACATACCGCTTTGTTGCACTTAGTCTTTGCTTTGGCGCATGTAACGCATGCGATCGCTCTTCTCGACGGCATTCTAGCGTACGGGTTGTGTTGCTGAGGCTGAGTAGATACGTGAAAAGACGAGCCTCGTGAAGCAATGGAGGTCATTACATCCATCGCGTTCGAATGTTTGGTTCGGTGGGAGAAATTGAACTGTTGTATGCCGCATGTGCCCACTGTTGTCACTGTACGCTTCGAGTCAACGTTGGAAAGGGACAGCCAACCGATCAAAAGTGCGAGCGTTTTGAATAAAATATGCTGAAGCTCAGGAATTGTTCAGGAGCTTGTCGACTGAGCCGTGTTGGACTTGTTCATCTTAGAGAGTCGGACAGAACGAGGATTAAGAGATTCACTCAATGACTGATTGTCTACGACGTTCGGCTTGCGTGATGCTAAGCTTCGGGCTAAGATATTCATCTTCTGCCGAAAATCCTACATAGCAAAGGGGCCGTTCCAGTACCAATGAGGCGTTGTCCACAGGGCTGGAAGCTGAGCCAGAGTATCTTGGAGTAGTTTAGCTAGATGTGGCTACTGGGAGCAGCTAGCACGATACGCCACCTCGGACGTGCCTTGGACGCATAGCGATGGTGGATAGTGCCTCAGCGGGTGAGTAGTAACAAGGGTGTTCTGCGTGCTGACAGGACCCGCGCTGTTGGGCTTCGGTATATCCACGACGACAGACCGTACACAACTTGTGGTGTGGCTCGAGCCTTACCAGTCCGGGTGATTGGCTGAGTACGTATTCATCTCAAACGTGTGCCTAGTGCGATTCGTTGCACTGAAATCTGAAATAAAGCTCAACCATATGGATTGACTGGTAGTCAGTAGGCACATGTAAGCTGGAATCAAACAGGTTCGTATGCAATACCCCTCGTTATCCTAGCATCAAAAACGTTATCAGCGATATCCCCATCCAGGCGCAAGGTAGTCTTGCGGACGCCTACATAAGGAGAGCGGATAGAGATCAGGGCTGGAAAGTCGGTGGCGAGGCGTCGTGGTGCCTCGTACAAGGCTATTGTTGTAGATATAAGCTAATGACGCGAACGGACTATGGCAAGTGGCGCATTGTAGCAAGGTTGCATCGTGTGCCCCCTGCTTTGTATGGAGTGAGGCCATGGCAGCCTTAAGACGCTTAGTGTGGCAGGCTCTTGCAAGCTGTTTCTTTGTGGAGGAGCGATATCGGCGACGATGTTGATCGACATGGTAGCAATGTATGGTGTTTCACTCGTGAACGCGGCGCGGCCGGGAGGCTGGGTTGCTCCACGTCATTTTCCGAAAGGTGCACGGAGCGTTTTTGAAAACCAACTCAACAGCTGCACGAGGCACGCCAGACGAAAACCTTCCCATAAACATAATCCCGAACAGAGTCACAATCATTTCCTAGAAGGCTTTGGTCTCTCATACAGATTCCCACAGATACACAAAAAAGGAAGTCGGTTCTTGTAGTGACAACATGTAGACATTTCCCCGATTTGTGATTGACACCAACACACGACCTCGGACAGGAAACAGAGCATCTACAGGATCGCAGATTCGTCCTCCAGGATTCAGGGCTTGAAAAATTCCTGTTGTGGTTGCTCTATCATAAGCCAACTATGATTAGGATTGCTGCGCGTAAAGACAGACCTTTCCGGAACGATCGGCGTCCGGAAGTTCACTTGTGAGCAGTGCCCATAATACCCAGATGTAGTTATAGACGCAGATGCTCTATCGTTACGAAGGATTCGAGCGGTGAGCTAACAAGTGTCCGAAAGGTAAACTAAAGTTGACCAACATGGGGCCATTGCATGAGCACAGCTTATGTGGGAACTTCTTTCCTAAGAGTCATCATCTTCAGACTTAGTCGCTTCTGAATACAATTGGTTGTAGATTTGCGACTCCCATGACAATGGGGTTTCATCATGCGTTTTGCATACCGTTTTGCCAGCCACCATCAGAAACCTCTGCAGACCGCAGCTTCCCATCACGTATAGCTGCAGGAACGAGCAGCGAGGAGCCGAGAGTGGAACCCAACACGTCATATATAGATGGAATTGTACGCAAAGAGATACGGGTATCTATCGAAACCGTGGTAGCTATACATATCTGAATGTTAACGGTCACTAGAGGGTGCTCGCACGAGTAGGGACTAGCACATTTGCAGCTTAGTCGACCGGGCACATCTGCATCGCGCCTGCCTCTGCATCACGCACATCCTCCAGGGTCCGCAGTTTCAACCAATCTCATCAACTGCTCCATTCACGCTATCAACTGTATCACTACATCAATTTTTGAGTATCCTAGGGACATCAAGAGCATGGCAGGACGAGGAATCAGCGAGCTGTACCCTGCTAGATTTCTCGCAGAAAGCGCCCACCCCGAGAAAACCTCGAATCCTCCTGACCTTCTCATCTTAAATCAGCCAATAGCCCACTTCACTGCATTTTTACGTCTTTGGAAACACACTGGCTTTCGCATATGTGCCGATGGCGGCGCCAATAGACTTTTCGATATGCTGAAAGATGATTTGATCCAGCAGCGCGAACAATACGTGAGTAGAATTGTGGTTTGTAATGTTAATATCAGTTGCTGATATTTGTAGCTACCCGATATGATTCATGGGGACTTGGACTCGTTACGCGATGATGTACGTGAGTACTACGAAGCACGAGGTGTTCCTGTGTTACGAGACCGTGACCAGTACAGCACAGATTTTGGAAAATGCATGCAAAAAATTTCGTTGCGTATTACTTCCTCGGCTGTGCAAGATGTCATTGTTCTTGGTACCTTGGGTGGGAGGGTTGACCAGGGCCTTGGACTCTTGAACGAAATGTACAGGGAACAGACTCAACATACCGACCTGCGTTTATGGCTATTCTCCGAGTCCAGTCTGAGTTTTGTGCTGAAGAGCGGAGAGACTCTGCTAAGAGGGATCCAAGAAAGTGGCACTTTCACAGAGAACGTGGGGTTTCTTCCTATATATGGGCCAGCGGTTATCTCTACCGAAGGGCTAGAGTGGGATGTCAAGGAGTGGGACACGCAAATGGGTGGCCAGGTCAGTACGAGCAACCACGTTAAAGCGAACGATGTAAGAGTCGAGACGGACGCGCCGATACTGTTCACGATAGAAACGGCGCCTTTGTGATATGATGGAAATATGTACGCGTACAGCATGCACGTTTTCCGGTATCGTGCTACATGCGGACTTGACATGCTTGCGACTTATCAAAAGAGAAATGCACGTACTGGTTGCCTCGTGCTAAGTGTACAAGCACACCGTTATTGTGTAACGTCTCAAGTATCTTCAGAGGTTGTCCGTCTCGAGGATAGTGGATCAGGGCTGTCATGAGGTAAGCGTGTTACTGATCTATCGTGCCTTCCACGGTTCGAGCAATCGGAACGAAGTACGACATGCGAGTCTAATACATCATGAATTGGGGACTCTTCTCCGGTCGCGACGGTGATGGCACTTTTTCAGTCCTAAACAGCAGAGTTGTGCCAGCAACGGTCCGGGTGTGGTGGAAGCATGAGGAGAGTCCGACGCGCAACACAGCACAGGCGCAGGGAACGGTTCCTGCCTATCTTCGGGACTGCGACAGCTACATGTTGGCTACCGTTGGGGAAGCTGTGATTGGCTTTGTGGTCGTCAATTCGCCTTCACCATCAAAGCTGCTATAGGCTTGTATTCCCACTCAAACAATCAACGCGCTTGCCAGGCCAACATCGCTACTCACTGTTGCTACCACTGGACCCCTTGGAAGTTATTTCGCTCACGTTCACGACTTTCCCTCCCGCAAGCACCCCGCTCTCTGTGTTGCTCACTTACAGCTGCTATATCCACTCCTCACGTCCCACCGCGTCAAAGCTCTCCGACTAGCAACTTACCCTTCGACGTCAGGCACCGTACGCTCGCGGCTCTTCACCTCCAGATATCTTCTGCTCGCCCATTCTATACGATACATAGCAAAGCGTTCTATCGACAAAAACACTACTAACGACGTCGCAGTTGGTGTGAGCTGCACAACATAGGGCCGGCTGTGGGGCAAACCGCCGGCGCGTACACCATTCGGTCGCTCGTTGCCCAAAGAAGCGGGGCCAATGGCGTCCATACGAAGGGTCGCTTCGTACACATCCTCGGAATACTCAGAATCACCACAAAGTCGAGATGAGCAGCCCAGACGGTCGTCGTCGAGCTCAGGTGTAGAACGGGAAGTTGCGTTTCCCCACAACACTAACACAGAAGGAGTATCTGAGCAAGCAGGAGCAGCCGAAAAGCCACTGATTAGCCATTCGAGCGGCAGTCAGAGTCCGGCTTCTGATCATGGATTCGATTTCGGCATCCTCCCGTCGGCAGAGCGCTCCTCCTCCCCCTTGCCCTTCGCGCCTATTGTGCCTTCGCCGCTTGCAAACTCCAGATCGGCGAGCCATGAAAGCTCAGAAGGGAACGATATGCTCTCGAGCGATGAGACGCAGACGAAGAAGAATCGACCGCGCACCACGGCGGGTCGGCTTCACTTGCGCCTTCCGCCCCGGACTCACCTGAGAACACCAAAGGCGAGGAGTACAACAGACTTGTCAAGCCAAGCACCTCGCTCTCCTGGCACCCCACTCACGTTACAAGACCTGGGCACCGACTACACTCGCTATTTCAATCCCTTCTCAGACGCCGCCACTAGTACTCCTAGCCGTAGTCGAAGGACTTCCTTGTCAGAACGTCGGTCTTACGGTAGGCTGGGTGTGGACTCGCGCACCACCACTCCGCCGCCCTGTTTACCGCTGACCAATCCGTTTCTTACGCCCAATGACTCTGCGACGGGACTCAATGAAAATGCTCATGACCTGTACGACACAAAGAAGAATGTGTCCTTTATTGACGATAGGTTGACGGCGCCATACGAGGAAAAGGGAATGGCCTCTTGGCCACTAGTATGCGATCAAGAGGAAGCTGACGATGAAATGCACATGCCTCGCGATGATGATGACATCAAGTTCAAACCCAGGATACGCGACCATTTCACAAGAGACAGCATCATGTCCACCATCGGCTTAGCGTTTATGATATGTGGGCTACTATTTATATTTGTCGGACTTCCAGTGCTTTCCGCAGTAGGCATTATCGATTATAATTCAGCCTACGGCATGCCGCTGAGTATGTTTCCTAATCCATGGAGGCCTCAAATCTGGGCAATAGTCAACAACAAAAGATATCCACTTTTGGAGAATATACGTAAGGGCCTGATCGACCCGGACACACCCGACTCTGTGAAAACAAGAACTGGGGAGTTCGGCGACGAATACGTGCTGGTTTTCAGCGACGAGTTCAACGACAACAATCGTACGTTCTACGAAGGAGACGACCCGTACTTCTATGCACCCAACGTGTGGTATGGTGCGACGCAGGATATTGAATGGTACGATCCGGATGCTGTTACCACCCACGACGGCACACTCCAGCTGCGCTTAGAAGAGTTCTTCAATCACGGCCTCAAGTTTCGGTCTGGAATGCTGAACAGTTGGAACCAGCTGTGCTTCAAAGGTGGCATCTTCGAAGTCTCAGTATCACTACCAGGTCCAGCCGGTGTACAAGGACTTTGGCCTGGTGCGTGGACGATGGGCAACCTCGGCCGGCCAGGCTACTTGAGTACAACCGATGGCCTGTGGCCCTACACTTACCAAGCTTGCGACGCTGGCATCACGCCCAACCAATCTAGCCCTGACGGCCTGTCTCACTTGCCTGGACAACGACTGAACTCGTGCACCTGCCCTGGTGAGGATCATCCAACGCCAGGGACGGGAAGAGGAGTGCCAGAGATCGATATCATTGAGGTGGGTGCCACATCAGGCTACCCAGGTCCAAATGGTCTTCCAATAGCGACACAAAGCTATCAAGTTGCGCCATTCGATATCTGGTACTATCCAAATTACAACTACACGGCGTTGCCAGACCTTCGTTACAGTGGACTCAACACTTACTCCGGCGGAGCCTTCCAACAGGCCATCTCTGCCACCACGATACTGAACAAAGATTGGTTCGATAACAAGCAGTATCAACGGTTCTCTTTCGAGTATGTTCCAGGAGAAGGCAAAGATGCTTATATATCCTGGAAAGTGGGCGACCAAACAATGTTTATCATGGACGGGCGCGCTATAGGACCAAACGGCAACATCCAGGCCCGCCAAATCGCGCAGGAACCATTATCACTCATTCTAAACATGGGTCTCAGTAATTCGTGGACCTGGATCGACTGGAAGAACCTGGTTCTTCCTACTACCATACGTTTCGACTACGTGAGATGGTACCAGAAGAAAGGCGAGGAGATGGTTACGTGCGATCCCCCAGGCTTCGAGACTACAGACTACATCAAAAAGCATCCAAGAGCTTACAACAATCCTAACTTTACTGTATATATCTGCCTTGCTATCGTAAAGTCAGACAACTAACTTAAAGCAGTCATGGGATCAAACTGGTTACGACTGGCCAAAGCACAAGCTTAACAGCGAATGCTGACCTCTACGCCCTGAAACCAAAGGACGATAACGATTGACGAACTACCATGAGCACGAACCCCCGCAAGTTGCTTGGGGCATCTTCTGTTAGACCTTGTAATTGCACGACAGTATACGATTACTACGAAACGGCATACTCAAACCGCACAAATATGTCGAGAACAGGCACATGGCTGTTGTATGGGGACACGCGAACGATAGTGTTTCTGCGAGGGACACAGCATGGGACTGGTCTTGGCCATGTTTAGGCTATATGTATCATCCCTTGCATATGGGAAGGTTTATCGATTTTCGGCGGCATCATGCCATTCTGCAATTTTTGGTAGGTGTTTATACATAGCGTAGCGTAACGATAACTTTGGATGGAACGTACCCAACTTCTTGATAGTGGAATTGTTCATATGGCGCCTGCAGCAAACAGGGCTGAACCAGTGCATTGCTGGACAAAACGATTTCACAAGATTGAGGCGTTGTTCCTGAACGTTACGAAAAGTTGCGAAAAGAGAGGGGAAAACACATCGGCCAACTTCTTCGTAAGGTGATTGTAATTAGCATTGCAGACTCCAAGGGTGCTGTATATACAGCCCGTCCTCCAAAGGTCGATGCGGAACGCAATCCCTATACCTCCTCCTCCTCTACACAAGTAGCGTCCTTGCACTTCTTCTTATCGCAAACCTTGTGAAAGTCCTTGTGAGACTTTGCGCCCTTTCCAATGATTTTTCTAAACATTCCAAACTCGCAACTCGCACCGGGACCATCCTGGCAATCAGGAATTGGCCTTGGTGCAGAGTTAGCAATGAATCTTATATAGGTGCCTGGCTCGTCGCCATGAACGCCACCACGCTCGCAGGTCATCTTTTCCATACCAACGTGGCCAAGGAAGGGAATCAGGTCGCTCATCTTCCATGCACGCGTCCAGTTGATGTGGTCGGTGGGAAACTGCTCTGCGGCGTCGGAAGAGCTGTTGAATAACCCGAGAGCAGTGGCGATGAAAGGCGGGACTTCGCGATGAGTGAAACCGAGAAAGAAGCGCTGCTGATCGGGCCAGCCATCGCCGGGTGTGTCATGCTTTTCAATGTGTGCGAAAAGTTCAGATTGAGCCTGGAGCCACGGGAAACCGAGGTAAGGGGAGAGAGGGTTGAGAGGACCGACCATGTAGGCATATTTCAGGTCCCATGCGTACTCGTACGCCATCCATTCCGAGTCTGTGAATTGCTCGCAGAGGGGGCTTCGCTCGCCCTTAATAGCAGACTCGTAACCACACAGCATTTGGAAGCCGACAACATCCTTGGGCTCAAGCTTGAACGGTGTGTAAGGCGAGAGGCGATGCGCGACGCTAGCACCATAGAGATCGATGACCTTCTTCTGCTGCTTCTCACCAGGTTTCTTGGAGAAGTTTTTGCACGACTTGTGTGGAATCAAGCTCTCCATGCTTCCATTTGTGTTTTCCGTAATCCTGACGATCTCGATGTCGTCCTTTTGCGGGAACGCCTTGACAAAGTTCTCAGCCGTGTCAAACGTCCTGCTCTTCTTGTCTGCCAATATCCTCTTCGTGTCTGGGACGAGGTGATGGTATCGTTGCAACAAATGCTTGCCTACCAGCTCAGCATCCACAGCGCCAGAGGGCGTCAGTTCCTCCAACCTATCTTCCAAGATTGGGGACTGCCACTTCTCCATGAAGGCCAATGGGCCAGTCCATCCTTGGCGATGTTGTTCGAGCTTCCAGAGGAAAGGCTTGATGTATTCCTCGTATTCAGCGTCGTTGGAGTAGATGGCACCGTGTCGGATGATGTACGATGCGGCGGTGACGTTGCAGCCGATGGGAGGTTGGTGCTCGAGACCAAAACCTGTGTATGGAGTCAGATTGGGTTTATCCTGCAGCTTCAGAGAATGGTACACACCGACTGCATCAAAGTATGGCGAGATACCAGGGAGATGCAACAAAGGATCAAACTTGTAGTTTTGCGAATGGTCCAGAGGCCGAAGTGGTGATTGAGCTTGACTCTGGCTTTGGAGGAATGTCGGCAATGTTAAAGCCGAGGCTGATCCTACCAGCGCGAGCGCAAGAGACAGCATATTAGACATTAGACTTGTGATGCGAGCAATTGTGAGGTGTTGTCGCGAACCGATAATTATACCAGGTCAATTGACCTATGATGAAAGTTTTCGACACGGCATTTGCGCGGTTTTGACGTTTTGTTTTCAGTGACGTAGATGGTTCTGCAAGGTACGCGCTTCACTAGCGCGCCGCACCGATCGCGCATGCTAGGGGCTTGGACGTCGTCACTTATTCGCTGTTATCTATGAACGTGCATATTGTCTATAATCACACGGGGGACCAGATGCACTCAAGAAGAGACGAGCATGCAGTGAGTTTTACTGCACATGAAAGCGGATAGAAAAGCATAGATTAGAACGATGACTGTTTCAATTGCTATAGCCACGAACGTTTTTTTGAAGCAATGTACTGCCAGTGAAACGCTCATTCCCGCCACGAAGAGCCGTCACGTTCCTTATCCTGCCATATGCAGTGGGTAGGACAAGACATGTCGTTTGATAGGCATGTAGACAGACGCTGATCCATTGTCGCTCTTTCCCTGGCTCGAGCGTCGCCTGTCGCAAGCTTCGTTGTCGGAATATCCATATGTCGGCGTAGCAGACTCACCTGCTCCAACGGTACTCGCGCGCAAACTAAGACATTTCTAGTTCGTCAAAGCTATCTTTTCGCTTGGAGGATGAAGCTTCGATACCGGGTCGGTTGCTTGTCTTCAGGTAATACCTACCATTGGTGACATACTGTCGAAGCAGCAGTTGTAAGCATAGTGAGCTGTTGTGACGTTCGTATTGGATGCTAGCTGCAGCATCATAGATGATAATCATGTCCTAGAAGATCAGTCGCCCACGGAGGGCCTCGTAGTTAGCCTCGTGAAGATGAAGAGCGCTTCCGAAATGGTCGCGGATGATCAATGTCGACTGCAAGCGTTGTAGAGCTTGTGAGAAGCCTGGACTCGCACATCGTCTCAACGCTTCGATGTGAACACCGAAAGCGGTGTATGCATCGAAGCAGACGTTGCACCAGGCTCAGGGCGACTCTGCCGGGGAGAGGGTTGGGAGTCATACCAGTTGACATCTGACAGCTGTAGCTTCCGTGCACGCTGATTGCTGCGGTTTGCACCAGCTTTATCAAGGCGCGGCTGCGCGTATGGGTTCGGAGTCTTGTCCAGACCTTGAAAAGTTTCAGTACGTATTCTATTGGTATTAGGCGAGAGGGTGTAATGAAATGGTGAATCACCAGTCGTGTCATCAGCATCGTCGCGAGCTTCGTTGTAGTTTAAGACGAGGCTCTTGATTCGCTGTCGTTCTTCTGTATCTGCTTGCTGCTTGTTACGCATAGCGACAGCAAAGGTTGAGTCAGAGGGCAGGTCAATAGATCGGGTCTGCGTCCTGTTGCCGCGCTTGCTGAGCAACGAGAATTTCATCGTCTGCGAGGGAGCTGGTGCGACTGGAACGGGTACCTCGCTACCAACATCGTCAGCGCTCACCGGAGCCTCGCGAGCGCGACGCATTGGAAGTGGCACATCAAAGACAGGCTTGCGGTCATGCTTGCGGGACTCTGCACTTTCTGACATCAGCTTAGCAAGCTCACGATCGAACTCAGCATCAGCTTCTGGGTCGCGTTCGTCTTCCTGCCGTGTGACCACAATCTGCTCTTCTTCTTCGTCCGAAGATGTTTGTTTCATAGGCTCGTCATCGTCGGAGTCCTCATCTTCATCGCCAGATGACTTATCTCCTTCGCCGTCAGGCAATACAACGTCCTCGTCTTCGGCACCATCCAGGTCATCGTCCGATGCGGACATGTCGTCCTCGTCAGGCTCTACAGGTTTGTCGGCTGACGCTGTTTGGTAGTTCTGTTTGACGGCTTCTGCAAAGACACGTGAAGCTTCTTCCAGGTTGGTGACTATCTTCCACTGCGGTCTCACTAGGTTGAAAGCATCTTGCACGATGAACTCAACGTCCATCGGCAACGCCTCCTTGATGCACACGTAATACTGCAGGTACGTGAGAAAGAAGTCAAGCTTCTTCTTCGCCGCGCCTTTGTCGTAATACATGCCACAGGTCTCCAAGAGATTACAGACAAGGCGAATACGGAAATAATCGTCGGAAAGGTCCAGAGGGTTGTATCCTCCGGGCCGCGCATACCCACCTTCCCATCCGTAATTCAAAAGCTTGTACAGAGTGTCGAAAATGAGAGGCGAGTCGACTAACCGGTAGATGTACAATTCACCGAGGTACTTGACTTCTGAAATTCGGCGTTGGTTGAACTTGAAGTCGTTCAATTCTAATCCGAATGTGATAGATTCGAGAAGATCATCAATGACTGAGATGGCGAAGTCTTGGTGAAACCGATGGATTGTCCCCAGCATAACGGCTAGCAAGTGGATATTGCTGTACTTGATCTTCCCCGGCTTTGCAAAAACCTTATGGAGGAGATTGACTACCTCCTCTTCCTCCCAGTGCATCTTGCGTACCTGCTTAATGGTTTTGTCAAGCGTACGACGAGTCAGGTCTTGGTACATGATCTTGCGCAGGAAGAGCTCGACTGGTGTCCGTTCTTTCTGTTCGATTGCCGCACGCTCTGGCGGGTTTACGTAATACACAGCGTTCTCGATCAACATGCGCTCTTGTTGACCGATAACCTGAGCACCCTTCTTGCGTTGGAGGGTTTCTAGAAAAGAATGCATACGGGGAGAAGTTTCGGGGTTCCGAAGCAGATAACGTCCGCAGTTCTCTAATAGATTGCATATGATTTCGATGTTCATTCGTGAGAAGTCGTCAAGGCTGACTTTTAAACAGTGGAAGATGACATGCTCAGGAACGACACCGAACTTGGTCAACTCTGCAAGGTAGCGTACGTTCTGTGTTCGCACCTGTCC